GCGGCCATGGCGACCCGCCGGGCCCTCACCTCCGTCCTCCGCTCCGCCTCCCGCCTCCGCGCCGCCTCCCCTTCCCCGTGCCCGCGCCGCGCGCCGCTCCACCCCCACCGCCGCCCGTCCCCCGCGGGCTTCCTCCTGAACCGCGCCGCCGCCGCCTACGCGTCGTCCGCCGCGGCGCAGGCGGCCCCCGCGCCTCCCCCCGCGTCGGGCAAGGCCACCGGGGGCGGCAAGATCACCGATGAGTTCACGGGCGCTGGCGCCGTCGGGCAGGTGTGCCAGGTGATTGGCGCCGTCGTGGACGTGCGGTTCGACGAGGGCCTGCCCCCGATCCTGACCGCGCTGGAGGTGCTCGACCACAACATCCGCCTCGTGCTCGAGGTGGCGCAGCATCTCGGGGAGAACATGGTGCGCACCATCGCCATGGACGGGACCGAGGGGCTCGTTCGCGGCCAGCGCGTGCTCAACACCGGCTCTCCCATCACTGTAATGCCCTCCCCCCTCTTGTTCCTTGTCCATCACTATGTTTGGAACTGTTTATTTGGATCTAGTCTGACGAAATGACGGACCAGTAGTCGGTAGATTTGATCTAGATGTACGGATCCGTGTATTGATTAGGGCAGGCTCACCTTACAGATCCGCGACTATAGTTTGTTAATGAATCCATGCACTGATTTAGTGCGGATTCACATATCAAATGCCAAATGGCGAGGCCACAAATGGAATTTGACTCTTACGAACATAATTATGCAATACATTTTCTATGTTCAAATGCTGCCCCGTAGATTCATTTTTCCAGTCCAGTCATGCCATCTGGAGATGGAGAAAACATTTACCGTTGGATAATTTGGTAAAGGTACTGAATGCCCTTATGGGCCTTTTCCTTTTCGTCTCTATGGTCCCAGAATCACACAAATCAAGGAGGGGCCTTTTGTCTTTTGGGTGTAGGGGCTTTATGAAGGGAGGGTTGAGAGAAAATGCATGTGACCCAATGTAGGTTCCCAATCTCAAAATGTGCTATGGGATAACGGGAAGTCCAAAAATGTTTCTTTTAAAATAAAGTTAAAGTTATCATGTGAAGTTGAAAGTTATATTTGTTTTCCTGAGAAACTTAGGAAGCTTAAGATTAGGTGATGGGGGTTGACCCTTTTTTTTTTTGTTTTGCTTACAGATATTGTGGTTTGCTGATTATAAGTTCTGTCACTCTGTGCGGCTTATAATGTGTGTCAAACTAAAGATCATTTGTTATTTACCTGTGACAAAAGGCTATATATATTGTCCTTGAACTTTGATGTTGTAATGTCAGTATAACCATCTTTGATCTAAACCATGTTCTTTATATTTCTTTGTTTTGTCTGTTTTAGGTTCCTGTTGGTAGGGCCACACTTGGGCGTATTATGAATGTCATCGGTGAGCCTATTGATGAGAAGGGAGATATCAGTAAGTCTAAATGATATCCATTTGTATATTGTAGGTGTATGCATACATACTATATTTTCTTCCTTATGATCTTTAGTTATTGATTACCTTTCTTTGCCACAGCAACAAACCACTTCCTCCCTATCCATCGTGAAGCCCCTGCTTTTGTTGAGCAAGCTACAGAGCAACAGATTCTTGTTACTGGAATTAAGGTACACTAATTTCTGTCTCTTCTGAAATGATTTTCTTAAACCCTGTGTCTTTTTAAATTTCCTAGTTGGTTAGGTTTCTTAATTGTCAAGAGGCGTTCCTTTTTGTACCATTTTGTCTTACACAAGGATTGCACATTTATCAGGTCGTGGATCTCCTTGCACCCTATCAAAGAGGTGGTAAAATTGGTCTCTTCGGTGGTGCTGGGGTGGGCAAAACTGTACTTATTATGGAGTTGATCAACAATGTTGCGAAGGCTCATGGTTTGCTTTCTACAGAGCTTGATGGTCATATCCAAAGTCTTGTGCTGTGCATTGCCTTATCTGGTTGACCTGTTTATTTTAGGTGGTTTCTCTGTCTTTGCTGGTGTTGGAGAACGTACTCGTGAGGGTAATGACTTGTACAGGGAAATGATTGAGAGTGGTGTGATTAAGCTTGGTGACAAGCAGGTAAATAAGTCACATTTCAAATATGATATCAGTATATATTTTCTCTTTAATGAAATTTCTCCTTACAAGGTAGTATTTTCCTTTGGCAGAGTGAGAGCAAGTGTGCTCTTGTCTACGGGCAAATGAATGAGCCCCCGGGTGCTCGTGCTCGTGTTGGACTGACTGGTTTGACTGTTGCCGAGCATTTCCGTGATGCTGAAGGGCAGGATGTGCTTCTCTTCATTGATAACATTTTCCGTTTCACTCAGGTAAGTTTTGTGAGACCCTTATGCCATCTCATTCTGGCAATTCTAGCAATGGTATTCATGGTAGTTGATGCACACATTATTTTTTGTTATGTGCATTATTATTACACCTGACAAAGCTGTTCATTTGATTATTCTGTATTAGGCAAACTCCGAGGTGTCTGCCCTGCTTGGACGTATCCCATCTGCTGTGGGATACCAGCCAACCCTTGCTACTGATCTTGGAGGACTGCAGGAGCGGATTACCACCACAAAGAAGGGTTCTATCACATCTGTTCAAGCTATTTATGTGCCTGCTGATGACTTGACAGATCCTGCCCCTGCTACTACATTTGCCCATCTTGATGCTACTACTGTGTTGTCACGACAGGTATGCCTACCTAATCTTTTTACAATTTGAAATATTAATATCTTTCCTATCATAAATGGATTTATTTGTACTGGATATGCAGATTTCTGAGCTTGGTATTTATCCTGCTGTCGATCCTTTGGATTCCACATCCAGAATGTTGTCTCCCCATGTACTGGGTGAGGACCACTACAACACAGCTCGTGGTGTTCAGAAGGTTCTTCAGAATTACAAGAATCTTCAAGATATTATTGCCATTCTGGGAATGGACGAGCTCAGTGAGGATGATAAGTTGACAGTCGCTCGTGCTAGGAAGATTCAGCGGTTCCTTAGCCAGCCCTTCCACGTTGCCGAAGTTTTCACGGGTGCACCTGGAAAGTATGTTGAGCTGAAGGAGAGCGTTCAAAGTTTCCAGGTATGTATTTTGACTGTTGTTATTTATTCCCCTTTGGAACAACATTTCCACAGTAGAGTTTTTGGCTGCAAGTTACAATGTTTAGGCTATCGTGATTATTTAGATACAAGAAGAGAGCAGGGTTTTAGTATTTAAGTTGGAACTTGGAGATCATGTGACAAGAACTGTGGTTCATGAGATGAACTCATCTGTTATGGTCATAGAACATAAATTAAAACCTGATGTGGCATAAAAATCAATTTACCTGCTATTTAGCTATGCTAACTTGACAATATTTGTCAAGCCCTGTATCATCTTCCTTTTCCTAAGTCAATGGTTACGTGGCTACAATATAGTACTCCGCAAGGCAGCAGCATATTGTTGCAGTGTAACAAGTAATAGAAAGTAGAAGTGCTAACATTACTCTTGTGAACTCGTGTCAAACATTACCAGTACATCTGGCCATTTTCTTATTAGTGAAGAGATATAGTTTTTATGACAGCCAAAAATGCGTCTAAAAAGCAATATGTTTTGTTATCCTTGTTTCTCATGGTGCATTATCTTTGTCCTCGGGGGTCTTACAAAATCATCACTCCAATGTCTACTCTTTTTTTCCACCAGTCATATGATCATGACTCTTATCTTGTGCTGTCTGCATTTCTACCGAGTAATGAATTTTCTCAACATGTCACAGGGTGTATTGGACGGGAAGTATGATGACCTTCCTGAGCAGTCATTCTACATGGTTGGAGGAATCGATGAGGTCATTGCCAAGGCAGAGAAGATTGCCAAGGAGTCCGCTTCATAAGCGATGCAATTTTTAACATTTGGAGGTCAACATGTTGTGCCTTTTATGTTTGTTAGCCAGGACATGTACTTACATGCAGGAGGCCCGGCCCTGCTGATCGATGTTTTTCCCCTCCACTTTTTTCCAAATAAGGATTTGCAGTGACCTATTTGTTTGGCTTACTGCCCTTCAAGGAAGAATTGAGTTCTCTTTTTGTGTGATGTGCGGCCAGTCCGGCAGTCCGTGAACTTGTTACTTGCTGAAAACACTGAAATATTGGTCTCCCATACAGCACCTCTGTGAAAACTCCTCATTTATACTTCCAACATGTTTTGAGAGCCGATATAAGCCGTGTTTCGATTCAAAATTTTTTCTTCAAACCTTCTATTTTTCCGTCACATCAAATGTTTGGACACATGTATGGAGCATTAAATGTTGACGAAAAAAATAATTGCACAGTTTGCATGTAAATCGCGAGACAAATTTTTTAAGTCTAATTACATCATGATTTGATGATGGATTAATTATGCTTAATAAATTTGTCTCGCAGTTTACATGCGGAATCTATAATTTATTTTGTTATTTGTCTACATTTAATACTTTAAATGTGTTAAAAAAAATTTTGGCACACGAACTAAACACAGCCATAGAGCATATCATTGAGGTTTCTAGCTGTTCCGAATCCTCTTCGAGTTTCGTTTTCAGCGTAATTTGTATGGTTCTATTAACCTGCAATTTCGAAATTTCGATGTTCATTTTTTATCGCCTCGCCTTGCATATTTTCCATGTCGCCTATATAGTTAACATCTTCGGTGAAATATTGCTCTTTTTTTAAGAAGCCTTCCTGAAATATTGCACTTGTAATACGTAGCGATAATTTTCGCATAACCAGCTTATATTTTGTAGCTTAACGTGAGACAGAGGTTAACGGGCCTACAAATTTCGCGTTTAACACCTGGCTAGCAAACAATGGGCCCCACCTGTCAGTACACCGTGTCCCGTCTCCCACGTGTCCCATTCGCATCCGATTTGGCAATCTCCTGCGCCCAGAAGGCCGGAACAGCTCAATCGCGACCGCCCAATTCAAAACGTAGGCCCGGAGATGCGATCGCTGCGGGGAGCCGGCCCAATAAAGGCTCCCTCGCTAACGTCTCTCTGCCGCTGTCCCCTTCTCCGGATCCCTTCGAATTCTGAAATCCCCAAATTCTTCTCCGCCTCTCCTCCCCTCCCCCTACAGTATTTCAAAATATTTCAAATCACACTACACTCTCCGTCGTCTCCTCTCCTCTCCTCTCCTCCCCCTCTCCTCCGCCTCTCTCGCATCTGAGGCTCCGATCGCCGGCGACCCCAGCCAGAATCCGCCGCCCCGTCTCGCCCTCCCCGCTCGACGAGACCGCGCCGAGCGGCGAAGAGGTAAGCCCCCAACTCGCCTGCGGTTTTCTCGGGCCCGAAACCCTAGGCTTAGTCGCGATCCCGGCGGGTTACTGACGCGCGCTGCGGCGGCGGCGGTAGCGGCGCGGCGGGTGTCTCGCTGAGGAGGTTGGATTTGATATCTGTGACTGCTCTGCAGGCCTAGTGTTCTTCGCACCTCGCGATGAGTAGCGCGGTGAAGGACCAGCTTCACCAGATGTCGACGACATGCGATTCGCTTCTACTGGAGCTCAATGTATGTCACCGCTTGCCGATTCAACCATTTCCCGGCTACTCGTGTTGGTTCTGGCATGGCAGTGGAGGATTTACGGGGTTTTTTTCTTCTCTCGTTCTGTTTCAGGTGATTTGGGATGAGGTCGGTGAGCCCGACACGACGAGGGACAGGATGCTGCTGGAGCTCGAGCAGGAGTGCCTGGAGGTCTACAGGCGGAAGGTCGACCAGGCGAACCGGAGCCGCGCCCAGCTGCGGAAGGCCATCGCCGAGGGCGAGGCAGAGCTCGCCGGCATCTGCTCAGCCATGGGCGAGCCGCCCGTGCACGTTAGACAGGTTAGTTTCTGGCTCCACCAATGGCTGTAAAAGAGGTATCGCATGGTTGGATCAAAAGATGGAAGTCGAATTCCTGTGGAACTGTGCTAATTGGCGATGGAAGAAAAGGAAGATTTAGTAGAGAACTAAAAGCTACGATTTCTGTTGTAAGATGATAGTACTACTGCTTGCATTGTTGATCTGATGGAGGTAAACCGTGTAGAACTCCATCAGCAGTTAACATTTTTCTAACTGATTAGTAGTAGCGTATCAATATATTAAGGGAAAGTGTTGGCAGAGCTTACATTTCTTTCTCACTTCTATTCTCGACTTTATGCCCAGTTACTGCTCAATCGGTTCTATACTTTTTACTGCTGTTCCCATGCATTAGCAATTTAGGATATATGTTTTGTAAAATTTATCTGTTTCCTTCAGTTTGAATATGTTCAGCATGAATAATATATTTACTGTTTTACCGGCAGCATGACTAAGTTACTGCCTCAAGTACGTTTTATTTGTTGAATACATTCTACCTTCTTGACTAATCAATTCTGCTTGACTGTAGATTTTAGCACTTCCTCAGCCATTCATGCAGTAACATGCATTTCATCTGAAATTTTGCAGTCAAATCAGAAGCTTCATGGCTTAAGAGAGGAGTTGAATGCAATTGTTCCGTATTTGGAAGAAATGAAAAAGAAAAAGGTCGAACGATGGAACCAGTTTGTTCATGTCATAGAGCAGATTAAGAAAATTTCGTCTGAAATAAGGCCAGCCGATTTTGTTCCCTTTAAAGTTCCGGTTGATCAGTCTGACCTGTCATTAAGAAAGCTTGATGAGTTGACGAAGGACCTGGAATCCCTTCAGAAGGAGAAGGTCATCATCACTAATACCATCTTTATCCATTTTCACCAGTCATGTTGTCATCGTGTCTCTATCTATCAAGAATCCTTTTCATTTCTTGTATAAAATCTCACTATGCCATATACATGTTTGTTTCTCACAGAGCGATCGGCTAAAGCAAGTGATAGAACATTTGAATTCTTTGCATTCCTTATGTGAGGTGCTTGGCATAGATTTCAAGCAAACAGTATATGAGGTGCACCCTAGCTTGGACGAAGCTGAAGGATCAAAGAACCTGAGCAACACTACAATTGAGAGGCTTGCTGCTGCCGCAAACAGACTGCGTGAAATGAAGATCCAAAGGATGCAAAAGGTCAGCATTGCCTGTACCATTGTAGAGGTATCAATGAACACTTTCAGTCTTTAACTTGGTTAATCTGATTCTGGCAGCTTCAAGATTTTGCTTCTAGCATGCTCGAGCTATGGAATCTCATGGATACTCCACTTGAAGAGCAGCAGATGTTTCAGAATATAACATGCAATATTGCTGCTTCAGAACAAGAGATAACTGAACCAAACACCCTCTCCACAGATTTCCTGAATTATGTAATTTATCATCACTGAGATTGCAAAAATTTATGTTCGTACTGTGTTATATTTTTATTAAGATATGAATGTTCATCGACTATACTTATAACTGTAGGTCGAATCTGAGGTGTTAAGGCTTGAACAACTGAAAGCAAGTAAGATGAAAGATCTTGTTTTAAAAAAGAAAGCAGAACTAGAAGAGCATAGAAGACGTGCTCATCTTGTTGGCGAGGAAGGTTATGCAGAGGAGTTTAGCATTGAAGCTATTGAAGCTGGTAAGATACTCTCCTGCCTTACTGCCTTTTATTGTGCCTGACAATTGTCATACCAGACAGAGTTCATATACCTGGTCTGTGTTCTGTTCGCAGGAGCTATTGATCCCTCACTAGTACTTGAACAAATTGAAGCTCACATTGCAACAGTGAAAGAGGAAGCTTTTAGCCGGAAGGATATTCTTGAGAAAGTTGAAAGATGGCAAAATGCTTGTGAAGAGGAAGCCTGGCTGGAAGATTACAACAAAGTATGGATGCTAGCTGAAGCTACGTGGTCTTTGTATATTTGTTTAGCAAATAATGTGGTACTGATATTTCCTGGCTTTGGCTTTTTTTAGGATGATAATCGTTACAATGCTGGGAGGGGAGCACATCTAACACTAAAGAGGGCTGAAAAGGCTCGTACTTTGGTCAACAAGATTCCTGGTAATGTTACTCAATGATTTATGTGTTTGGAACTTCCTTATCAAGTGCATATTTAATTTACAATTTTAACTCTTGCCATTACTACAATCTGATATCCTGCTGATTTGTGCTGAGCAGGAATGGTAGATGTTTTGAGAACAAAAATTGCTGCATGGAAAAATGAACGAGGAAAGGAGGATTTCACATATGATGGTGTAGGTTTTCTTACTCTTACACATTACATTGATCGGGTCTATTTTTGTTTCTTGCTGAAGTGCCTTTCTTGCAATTCTTACAGGTTAGCCTTTCGTCAATGCTTGATGAATATATGTTCGTTCGTCAGGAGAAAGAGCAAGAGAAGAAGAGACAAAGGGTATTATGCTCTCGCCTAATATTCATGTATTGTCTAAATCATCTTTTCACCTTCTGTGAATACGCTCTAATACTTGAATATACCTGCAGGATCAGAAGAAGCTCCAGGATCAGCTCAAAGCGGAGCAGGAAGCTTTGTACGGATCAAAACCCAGTCCATCCAAGCCCCTAAGTACAAAGAAGGCACCTAGGCACTCTATGGGTGGTGCAAACCGAAGGCTATCTCTTGGTGGAGCCACCATGCAACCCCCGAAGACTGATATACTGCATTCAAAGTCTGTTCGTGCTGCCAAGAAAACTGAAGAAATCGGCACTTTGTCCCCTAGTAAGCCCTACTAGCTATCATGTGTCGATATATTTCTTTTTCCTCTTATTTTCACTTGAACATATGTCTAACTCAAGCAAACAATATCAGGTAGTAGAGGTTTGGACATTGCCGGATTGCCTATCAAGAAGTTGTCTTTCAATGCCAGTACTCTACGTGAGACGGAGACACCTCGTAAACCTTTTGCTCAGATCACACCAGGAAACAGTGTCTCGTCGACGCCTGTGCGCCCTATCACCAATAACACTGAGGATGATGAGAACAGGACTCCGAAGACATTTACAGCACTGAATCCCAAGACTCCGATGACTGTTACGGCTCCAATGCAGATGGCAATGACTCCCTCTCTGGCCAACAAGGTTTCAGCAACTCCAGTTTCCCTTGTTTACGACAAGCCAGAGGTAACATTGCAGGAGGACATCGACTACTCCTTTGAAGAAAGGCGGCTCGCCATCTATCTGGCCAGGCAAATGGTTTAACTGTTGATCAATTTATGTACGTAGTTGAAATCTGACTGCATTTTCTTGTCGGTGGCCATTGCGTATGTTGGTCAACAATAGTCGGCCTTTCCAGTAGCACTATTCTGATTTACTGCAATTGTTTTAATGTTTTCTACAACCAGTAAAACAGCTCTATACATTAGCTTGCTCACTACTCAGTACAGCTTTCTCGGCAGCACGAAACATTTCTGTTCTCTTTGATGAATACTTCTTGCTGTGGATAGGGATAGTTACTGTTACATATACTGTATGCCCTCCAGAATAGAAACCTGTTAGTACGGGAGGTATTATAGGAAGGATCGTTTTGGAATTTTGGTGGTTAGCCTGCACAGTAAGTTCCATCAGTTTCTGGATTGTCCCTCGCAAAGAAAAAAGTTTTCTTGATTCTGGTAATTCGTTTGTCCCACCTGACTCCTTGAAAGTCTTCTGGACATGGGAAGCTATCGTATCGTATCGCTCGGGCGAACATGATGTGTGTGTCACTCTCGAGTGAGCAGGCCACCGAAGGCTGACTTGACTGACTCCAGCAACCAACAAACGAGCCAGTCATTTTTCACCCCGGATTTTTGTCCCAAAACACTTTTCCACCACCGTCAAGCCTCAAGCAAAACCAAAACGCTACGTAACGCCCATCAACACCATGAAATCGAGCAGCTAGTTGTGCCTGCTACTGGCCCCCCAGTGCCCTGTACCGCCCGTTCTTTTCAGCCACCCGGGGGACAGAAGAGTTTCCCTCTCAATTCCGGCTGGAGCCAGAGCCGCACGTACGACACAGTACACCACCCGCCGCGCCACGCCACGCCACACCGCGCGCCGAGGGCGCCGTGAACGTCAAGACGGACGCGAGACCGCGCGCGACGACGGGTGTGTGGCCGGCGGGGGCACAACCGCACGACGCACGTACGCTCGCCCGCACGCATAATGCCGCCCAGGCGCGCGCGGGCGGGCGGGGCCCGGCATGTGCGCGGCCCCGGTGTCATGCGCTAGCCCCCGTTGCAACTTGCAAGCACTCTCGCCCTGTCTGTCTCCCCCATGCGTGCGGCTTCCGGGCGGTTTCGTCGGTGACATTATCTGGTGGCTGTGTGGACTTGTGTACTAGTTGTGTGTGAGGAGCTGTATTGCATTGCATCACTTCATCATCATCGGTACAGGTTACGGTTGGATCATGTCACGTTTTTGGTGATGATGAGGGCCTGGAGGGACCGGAGTGTGGGAGTCAAGTCCTGCACCCTTTTCCGGGGTCAAGCTGCGTGTCCCCCCTTAACATCGCACACTGATCAGCTCAGCTGGGCTTGTTTCGCCCTGGACTGTCGCTGTCGCTGTCCGCGTCCTACCGTTTGGGTACAGGTCGTACAGCCTTGTACTACCTGGAATTTGTAGGCGCGACTTCGAGGTGCAGTGAAAGCGAAAATGGTGACGAATGATGAACTGCCGTCCTGGTGATGAACTGCGTGCTGCTTACTCAAAGTTGACGGGCGCGGGACAAGCAAGTTCCGGGTCATTTATCCAGCGGATCAAGTGTGTTCTATAAACGACACATCATCCACGTACTGAGGCCACACACTGATCTATTAATGCCTATCATATGCGCATCAAATTTAGACCTAAATTTCCAAAATCTCCCAAATTTCGGGTTATTTTGGCTGCTGCACTTTTTAAATTTAGCAAAAAAAGAACTTGTTCGAAAATAGCAAAAGTTCTTCATTTTTTCAATATTATTTAATTGAAATCTTGAAGTTTCAGTCCACCCCGAAATGATTGTGCATACCAAAAAGTAAACCCTGCTCACGAGTCATGGAAATTCCTGCGCTTCAAACAAACCTACATGTTGTTCCGGTGTTTCGTGCCAAATAAATATGTCGCCCTGCCATCTCATCCGCCCTACTACATCCGTGCACCATCTTTCCCTTTCAGGTGTTTGGGATTCACCGAACACACGAGACGGAAGAACGAACCAGCAGGTTCCACCACGCGCCGTGCGGCCGGTCGAGCCGATCGAATCGATCGACTCTCTCGTCAGTTGTCACGTCACCGGCGGCCGCACGCATCGCACCAAGCAAAGCATATCATAGGCTCATAGCACCGGACCCGAGCCCCCCGCGCCCGCGGCGCGCCGTGGTCGGTCGGCCCCACGCCCGGCCCTACGCGCAAATCCACTGCGTTTCCACACTTCCACCACCACCACCACCACGACCCGCCCGCGAATCCACCGAGCCGGCAGCCCGGCACCACGTACGCCACCGCCATCTCACGCAACTTTCCCCTCAGAAACACATCTGACACAACACAAAATCACCAACACACCCATCGCGCCATCGAACGCCCAGTTCGCCGCCCGCTGCGCCTTTTCCCTCTCACGTCGTCGTACTCGTACGCGTTTCCGCCAAGCAAAGTCCACGCCACCCGCAACCACCACTCCATCACCACCACCCCACCTATATATCTCGCGGCCTCGCATCCCACCGCGACAAACCAGACACACACTCGCGCACACACACAAACACTGGCACGCTGATCACCCAGAACAAACGCAACACTCTCTTCAGCTACCAAGCGTAGCCGGCGAGCTCTACCTCGTTGGCATGGGGAACCACCTGGCGTCGTGCACGATGGCGAGGGTGCCGGGGGCGGCGAGGGGGGCGAAGGTGGTGCTGCCGGACGGCGCGGTGAGGGCGGTGAAGGTGCCGGCGAAGGCGGCGGAGCTGATGCTCGAGGCGCCGGGCCACTTCCTCGCGGACGCGCGCGCGCTGCGGGCGGGGGGAAGGATCGCGGCGCTCGGCGCCGACGAGGACCTCGAGCTCGGGGGCCTGTACGCCGCGTTCCCCATGAAGCGACTGGGCGCGCCCGCCGCGCCGGCGGACATGGCGCGCCTGGCGGCCGCGGTGTCCAGGGATCAGGCCGCCGCGCGGAGGTCGTCCGCCACGGCCAAGGTGGCGGCCGTCGTGGTGGCGCCGCAGCACGACGCCGCGATGGCCGAGGAGGAGGAAGACGCCGCGCGGCCGAGGCTGGACGAGATGGCCGTGGGCGACGCGGCGGCCGAGGCGGAGATCAGCGAGCTCAAGCAGCGGATCAGCGGCGGCCGCCGGTCGAGGCGGCCGACGTTGGAGACCATACACGAGGAGAGCTACGCTCCAGCAGCAAGATGCTAGTGATAGTTTAATTCAGTAGCCAACAAGTAACACAACTGGGATGGCAAAAGGCCATTTCTCGTAATATTTTTTCCTTCTTTTGAACGCTATGTAAAATATTTCTTTCTTTGGCGCCACCTCTTTTTTCATGTTTTTTTTGAGAGAGGAAAGGGGAATATATGGAAGAAAAAGCTCGGTGGAAAGATGATTAATGAAATGAAGATATTTGAACATTTCACCTACTTATGCACTCTGATTCAGGTCTGTTTGCAATGAAGAAAATTGCTCAGATCATTTTGATCAGTAGGAACTAGTGCATATTTTCTAGAAAACGAACTACAGATCCATCTGTTCTATAGGCTTAAATCTGTACTTATGCTGATCTTTTAAGAAAGAATTCCAAGAATCTCTTCTTTTTTCCTTCTAGAATATTAGAATGGATTATTGGAATTGTATATTTCTAGATCCAAAGTATCTAAATCTAGCGAAAAACTGTTGATTTTATAGCATAAACCATTTTCTGCAAGGTTGCAAAAGTCCAAAAACAATTCTGTATGTCAGATATTTGTGGATATTTTCTGCTCCAATCCTCACAAACCATATGGTCAATATCTGAATGGCAAGTTCTGGTTTGTTTGGTCAAATCGTATCTCATGGGCTCCTTGGCAACTTGTTGAGCTAAAAACACATTAATTCCGTCTCTCCAACACTGGCCGTGATTCTATTGGCACACCAACACAAGTGGCTACTGCTTCAGTTAGAGAACTGAACAAAAGTAGGTTATGGAGCAGTATAAATCATTGACTATCGTGAGGGTAGAATGACTCATGAAGTAGTAGCACTCACGCATGCCGTGCTCAAGACATATGAACCGATTGTCTCGTCAGATCAAGCAAATCATAATGCAAATGATGCTAGTATATGCTAAGGGCTTATTTTGAAATGTAGGATTTAGAAAACGGAGAAATAGGTAAAGCATGGGATTCTGATAGAAATTTAAGTGTAAAATAAATAATTCTAAAACACAACAATATATAGAATCATAGAAAACTTTCTATGAGGTTTGGACCTCATGTTAAAAATCCTCCAAAACTCTTTATGAATTTCGTAGGATTCAATAGTTTTCAATCATTTGTTCCAAAGGGCTATATAAGAAAAAATCTTTTATGATTGGAATTCTACAAAACTTTTATTCCTATATTTTCATTTTAAATAAAGGGGGCCTAAATTCACATAATTTTCTTTTTTTTCTTGAAAAACCAAACCAGCTGGTTGATTCCAGAGACCGAAGAAATTAATGGCTGATCCTTTCAGGAAAAGTGGAGAACAGTGTTCTTGGTCGTTCTCTGGTCTACCATATACTCATTTCCAACCAGTTATTTGAAAAGGCGTCGAAATTATAGAAGTCTAGTGCAAAAAAAGAAAGAAGAAATGTCTTGCTCCATTTATTTATGTGACGCCCATACGTTGCTTCCAAGCTTTATCAAACAGCGACAGCAAAGGCACGTACGACATCTACACAGCAGCTAATGAAATTATTGGCTCTCAGCCTCTCACACTGTGTCACTGCTCCACTCATTGTATTTTTGTTAGTGAATAGATCAATCAACCAACCATGTAATCAAAGTGGGTTAATTACGCTGTTGTTTTCGAAACACTGTTCCTTCCCCCAATTCTTCAGAGGAAAGCAAAGCTGCAGAGTGCAGACATACACATGAGAGAGGAGAGCAGAAAAAGAAAGGTTGACAGATTAATTGACGAAATGCAGTGTAGCTACTACTAGCAAGCAAGATTAAAGCTAATATAAAGATGCTTTGGAATAATGCCATGACGCAACCCACACTATATGGTGGTGCTGTGCTTGCTAGGCTAGCTTTGACGGTGCTGATCCGGACCAGCGAAGCCACAAGTCCCTCCACTATCTTATGCAACTGCAAGAGAGAGACAGAGAGGAAGAGAGAGAAACCGGGATATCAAATCATGGCCTGCGAATGATTAAGGGGGTGTTTAGGAACTTAGGGACTAAATTTAGTCCCTCTCACAAAATTATAAGTCCCTATGGTAGGGACTAATGTTTTTGTGAGAGGGACTAAAGTTTAGCTCCACTTTAGTCCCTCCAACCAAACACCACATAATTGCTTGGAGTTCACTTGCATGCAGAACAAGTTGCAATGGAGGATGGTGAGGGATTTTATTTCTCAGGTCAGAGCCATCTGCTGATTAGTTAGCGGAGATCTCATGCATATCAACTACAGGCTCTAGCTAGCAGCGCAGTGTTTACAATTTCGTTTTGCACATTTCTATAGGCGAGACCAAAATTTCGGGACGAAAAACGTAAATAAATTTTGAGTGACTTTAAACAAATTCACACACACAAAATTTGTTGGGCGGAAAATGGTTTTCAAACCCTGGCTAGCAGTGACGAAGGAAATTTTTTCTTCCAGTTTTACCAGTTTGCGGTGGATGTACTGGCTTGTCCATCAACCAATCTGGTAGGTTAATTTGCTGCGAAAGCTGCTGTTTACTGGTTACACAAATATCCAGTGACTTTGTAAAGATTTCGGGGTGTGGCTTAGAAATATTCTATGACTAACTGTTACACACGTACTAACACGCGCACACACATACATACAGAGGCCGTAGAAATGTACTTCCTCCGTTTCACAATATAAGTTATTCTATCATTTCCTATATACATATTGATGTTAATGAATCTAGATAGATAATATCTAGATTCATTAACATCAATATGAATGTGGGAAATGCTAGAATGACTTATATTGTGAAACGGATATAGTAGAATACTTCCTCCGTTTCACAATATAAGACTTTACAACATTATCCATATTCATTTAGATGTTAATGAATCTAGATATATGTATGTGTTTAGATTCATTAACATCTATATGTACATGGGCAATGATAGAAAGTCTTACATTGTGAGACGGAGGGAGTACAAAACTGTATCAGACCTTGTCTGATAGACTGAAATTCCAGTCGATTCGTATGTACCCGTATATACCAGTATGCCACTAGGCCATGATCCTATGCCATACACGTGGATGGGCCACTATTGCAGCCCTATGCAAACAGGCCTCATTGCCATGAATCGGTGACGATCCTCTTTGAGGAGATAAAGGACAGGGACAATAGACCACAGCGTCGGTGAGCCTGGCCCTGCCATATGCAATCCCACCCTCCGCCACTGGGAGAGAAGGAAAAAGTCTATTTTGACTCCCTCAATTATAGGCCAAGTGTAATTTATGGGCATGTTCAGATTGTAATCAAAATAAACCTTATTAAGTTTTGGCGATTGCCAAAATTTTGGCAGTATTTTTTATGTATTGACTAAATTTGATAACAAACTAAACGTAGACATTTTTTTTGGCAATTTTGCTAAAAAATGGTATGGTAGAAAATGACATCAAAGTGAACAGACCATATATCTCTCAACCACAAAATAGGGTATATCGCTTCTCACAAGTGTTAAAACTGGTACAAAACAACTTTCTTTATTGTTTTGAGGGTGGTTTGGCTGCCTCCTCGCGTGCCGTCTCAATGCACGGGTGGCGTCCATGGATCACCATGCTCTCACCTTGGCAGTCATTGCCACCATCGCTGGCTTCTAGATCCTCTAGTTCCTATCCTTTAGTAGGCTTCTCCCTGGCAATCTGTGCATCAATGAGGAAGGAGGTGGTGGTGTTGGCCAAGGAGGCATCAACAACAAGGACCAAGCGGTGGCGAGTTCTCGGCAACATCCTCAACGGTGGCAATTGATTGAGGAGCCAAAGAGGGGAGCCAATTCAGCGTGGAGAACAACTACGGATCGAGGAAGATAGAGGAGAGTGGATCTGGCGTTGGCAACCTCCCTTCCTAATGAATGCCAAATCCGAAGAGGTGGCATGCTCCACACGATGTTATCCTAGCGGTGAGCTCGGGGACGGGACTGACAAGAGGGTGGCGACGAGCACTGCGTTAAGATGCCATGATGCTCGGGGCAGCAACATGCCTCCTCCCGCACTGATCTAGGGATCTAGGGCTGAGCCCGTTGAAGAGGACTGCCTAGCCTCCACTGAGCTCCCCTTGCCATCTTCCTCTCTTCATTGCCCAAAGCGTCTCTGGCTCCCCTCACCACACCATCGTCATCTGGTGGAGCTCCGCCTCTCCGAGCACACCGGTGAGTTCACCTCCCTCTTCTCTCCATCCAGTCGCTGGTGGCCTCCCTAGCTACGCACTATCGTCCCCAATGTCATAGTGGCCAGTCGCAATCGAGCGGCGGCATCAACTTCTTGAGTGAGAAAAAGGACGAAAGGGAGGAGAAGGAAGAGAATGACAGGTAGGCCCAACTTTGTTATGCATATATTTTTTCTAAGAGCCTTATGTATGGGTCTCACCTATTTTTAATTTTTAATTATTCTTGTTTTCATATTGAAATGGTGTGTAAGCGCCACATAGGCGCTTTGTCATGTAAAATACAAAGTAAAAGTGATATGTAGATGCCAAATAGGATTTTTTTAAGACAAAGAGGCAACAACCCCTGGATTATTTATTTGAGAACTGGAAGTACAACTAGTGTTGCATAACAGTCCCTTAAGAAGGGGGAATTACATAGAGGTCCAGATTTAAGCATAGAAGGATAAAGTAAAATACTTCCTCCCTCCCATAATATAAGCCATGGTCAAACTTGGCACAGTTTTCAAAACTAATCTTTAACTTATAATTTCTCATATACTATAATGTTTATTGCAACAAAACTATAACCATCTTAAAGTAAATTTAAATATCATTCCGATGATATTAATTTTAGCAAATAAAATTTAATTTATATTACACTCCCTCCATCTACTTTTGATTCATATTTAATCTTGACACATGTACCAAGAACAAGTAATTCTACTTATCATTTATACTAATATAAGAAGGAGTTCACCCCTAACAATCTTACAGGCCAAATCATCACACATGATCTCATCCGTCCATCTGCCATGACATCTAATCTCATCCGGTCTTGCTGCAGATGAGTTCGACGACCCTATCCACTCCACCGCCCGTACTCCTATCGCAATGACACTCTGCCTTCGCCCCCCGCATGCTGCGATGACTCCGCCCTCCTCCCATCCCCGCGCTATACCTCGCTCCGCACTGCTCGCTTCTTCCCGTCGCCGCCGCACACCACCACGCCCTGCCCCACCAGCGCCAGGTGGATCTCCTTTCCGCCGGAGCCCCCGCCAGCGCCGGGTGGTTCCCCTTTCCGCCGGAGCCCTGCCTGGGATTACCCGTCCTCCGCCCTCCTCGCTTCTTCCCGTCGCCGTGCACACCACCGCGGCCTGCCCCCGCCGGCGCCGGGGTGGTTCCCCTTTCCGCCGGAGTCCTGCCTGGGTCTACCCGACGGCGCCGAGGTGGTATGCCCTTTCCCAGGACCCGCTGCGGCACACGCCACTCTGGTTTGCGACTCTCCTCCCCTGACGACATTTTGATCCCCTTCGCATGCCTAAGCAACCCATGTGAAGGACAACGCCTCCAGCTGCATCGCCTCCAAGCCATCGACTGCGGCCGGTATAATGGAGGTGATAAGGAGAGGTTCGCGGTGATTTCTTCCCTCCTTTCTTTCGCCCAGGTGAAAAAGAAAAATCCCCTTTATATATACTCCATTAGTTTTGGTTTGCTTCCATTACTGGCGCACTGAGACATGATCTTTTGATTCTCTCTAGCACCTACTTTTGGTTCGACTGGATGAGGCAATTAGCCAAACAATAGCAGTGGCAGGATGCAAGCCATGACAGCCATGGAGGCAAGCCTATACCTCCCCATCTCTTCTATATCATTATATATGTGTATGTTAGAGTGTACATTAGATTAGTCCTATACCTCCCCGTCTCTTTTATATCATTATATATGTGTCCGTTAGAGTGTACGTTAGATTCATCTACATCTCGCACATAGGGAGGAATCATTTGATCTCCATGTTGGTAATTTTGTTTTTATTTGATTCTATTGTCAAGATGGATTAGGGCATGGTAGGATTATTGTATATAAAATATGTAGTAATCCATGGTCAACTCTAGGTCTGCAACTTATTTTTATGCATGACAAACACAGGAGTTTCTCTGCCTTTTCTGATCCGATATTTGCATCTGTTTATCTTTACATAAAGATATTCGAATATCTTTACATAAATTTATCGTACTTTACATAAATTTACATAAATTCATCGTACTTTACATAAATTCATCGTACTTTATCTTTACATAAATTAATTTGCCTTTTATGTAAAGTACGATAAATTTCTTGGTTGGTGTGTATGTTAGTAATCATCGTACTTTACATGTGAAAGTACTAATGTTCAGGTTCGTTCAAAATAAGATAGTACTAATTTCACCATGAATCAGAAAATTAATGTTTGGCGTTTGTTTGTTAATGGCTATGTAGGTTTAATGGACTAATGATATCTCTATTAGAATTATTCAGAAGAGTAAATCTTTTGGTGGTAAAATTCAGGCTAATTGCAATGTACTGCTTTTTGACCTCTAATAATATTTCATCCCAGTTCCACCTCAACTGTTGCATATTTACTTACTTAGGTTCTTATCCTAAATGGATGTTTTGGTTTTTAGGTAGCAACATATGTTCTTCCTACAATTGGATCTTCAAAAGGAATTGTTAGGAGAATAAATACCCAGACCTTTCTCGGCTTTGTAATGGTCTAAGTACTCAATTTGTTGTTTTTTGGTTCCTCTGTTTCATATTGCAGACTATTTCATTGCTGCAGCCCACTGCTCTTCCAGCTCTGCCGACAACCACACCTACAAGAGCTACAGCTGAAGCATCACATAGGGCAGAGGAGGCATCACAGGTCTGGTTTGGATTCAGTTTGATGTTGCACTTTGTATAGCTATATGCAGTTTCAATTTCATCTTTTGTTTCTACCACCTTGCAATGTGAGAGTTGGTACGAGAAGATCTCACCAAAGTTCACTGTTTTTTATATTGTTCAAACATCTAATTCAGCTTTTGTAGTAAATGTACCTCACATTCCGAAAATTTATGTAAAATTGTAACGACGTCAAATTTGTCTACTCCCACTTCTTCAGCCATTGCAGGTTGAGGCAAAATCTTTTTTGTTGATAGCTAATATGGTTGCTCAATTTGTCCCAACAAGTATTTTCTAATTAAAGTGCCAAAATATATTCTGTCATTTAGAACTGATGTTACTTTTACATTTCAATTGGTGCCTCTCCCCAACCTCATCAATTTTTCGGTTGTCACATCCAAACATGTACATTCTCTTCTCATCCTAGGTTTACAGATTTGTCTTGCCCTCACCTCTCTGCAGTCCGCTCTTGACGGCTCTGAAGGACACCAAGGTCCCAAGCCTTAGGTTCTGTAAATGATCCTGACTAGGGTGACCAGTAAAAGCGAGGATTGTGGTACTGTTATTCACTTTGTGTAACTGTGTTAGGCATTCCGGTCCTGCTTTGAGCAAAGCCATCCTTATTTATATCATGCTTCTCTTGATTGATCGCAGGTTTGGAATTATGAAGAGCGCATGACGATTTGCAGGTGATTGTGAGCATATCACGCGCACCTAGCAAAGTGTGAGTACTGATTACAAACTTGATTTTTTTTTTAATTTTACGAACCAATTGGATTCAATTTTCTCTGCTAAATCACCTCATCATCATCGGTGAGATGTATGTGCACTTCCAATTTGTTTTGCTATTACACTTTGTTCCAAAATAGCTATAGGTTTTGCAGGTCTGTTGAAATAGATTTGGAATACCAGAACACCTACCTCTAAAACACAATAAAATTACTTTTCACTTTGGAATCTTAAGGTGCAGAACAAAGGTTTTTTACTGCAATACAAATTTTGTGCAATTCCAAATGTTCTCCTTGATGTACTAGGTGAGATTTTTAATCACAGTGGCCTAATTGATATATGTATCTGAGCTGGCAAGGATGTGGAAAGCAAGCATATTCTTGAAGCTATCTGGGCTTGACCACTTAAATCAAAATGATTTCTTGCTATTCCATTTAACTAATGTTAAAGTCGCGTGAAAGTTCTCTTAGATTAGATATCCTTATGCATGCTTCTACAAAAGAGTCCTTTTCATCTTGTTGGGATGGCCTATTTGTTGCGAATCACATTGTTGGGTTATCCTGTATAATAATTACCCAAAAGTATTTGGGAGAGAGAAGTTTCTTTGCCACAAAGAATTTGAATTTTGATAATGTAAATAACTGACTCCTTAATTAAAGGTCTTCTTCTCCCTAATTAAAGTTTTGTTTATTCTGTATCAGGCTTGTGTAGAGGAGAAAGGGAAGCTAGCAAAATTTGTGGGTGAAGAAACTAACAGATTGAAGTCCAGTCCCTTGTTAGTGTGATTTTTTTTTTTTTTTTTTGCGATTGCATTCATTAGTTCCATCACTGACAATCTGCCTGCCATACTACCCAACTGTAGTAAAAGATATTGATAGATGACATGATGTTTCAAATAGTGGTTAGCAAGTAAATCAATGTTATATTAAAAAAATATTTACCTTGCTACCCAACTAAGGGCCTGTTTAGATCCCCTGGCAAGTTTTTTCATCCTGTCACATCGAATGTTTGGACACATGCATAAAATATTAAATATAGACAAAAAAACTAATTACACAGATTATGTCTAAATTGCGAGATGAATCTTTTAAGCCTAATTGCTCCATGATTTGACAATGTGGTGCTACAGTAAACATTTGCTAATGATGGATTAATTAGGCTTAATAAATTTGTCTCGCAGTTTACAGGCGGAATCTATGATTTGTTTTATTATTAGACTACGTTTAGTACTTCAAATGTGTGTCCGTATATCCGATGTGTCACGACAAAAATTTTCACCCCTGGATCTAAACACAGCCTAAAGCAATTTGCCTTGCAGGTTCATGAATAGATTGATGTTTTGATGATATGACCAATCTGCTGCTAAAAATGTGCTACAGGTACCCAAATCTCAAGCCTTATTATGGCACTGAATAACTTGAACCGAAAATTTGATGTTATATAAATTAAGTAGATCTCATCTACTATAAAGATCTTCAGTAGCCATGTTTAATGAAATCATGAGGTAAGTACATATTCATGTTTTTTAGAAAACTAGAGCTTCACATAGACACATATCTAATTTGCTGTCACTAGGAAGCTTGTTGTTAGAGGATTTTACAGTTTTCTGAAGTTTGAAATTAATTCAGTTCCTTTTTAATGGAGGTAGTCTTGGTACATTGGCTCATATATATACGTGTTTCAAATTAGTGTATTACTTGAGTTCATTTTTTGAGTGGATTATTCAGTGATAATGTACTCTACCATTTTTTCTTTTCTTCTTCTTTTATCACAGATTGAGCCATTGGATTGTTTTTCAATCGTTCACTATCTTACTATGGTAGAAAACGAAACTTTAATCTGTTTTCATATCATTTGTCCTTACTAACTATCCTTTTATGTAGTCCAGAAAATTAGGTCGCAGGTACCAAGGTATCATTAGTATGGTCTCCATTTATATGCAAGCACTAGGTTTAGTGTCGGAATGGTTTGTTTTGGGTTCTTGGTCTTTTATGGTTGTGTGTTTGTGTCCGCTGCAGGTAGAGGGGAGTTGGAGGGGAATGGCAGCTCGCTGCAGGTAGAGGAGAGTTGGAGTGGAATGGCAAGTGCGAGTGAGGCGAATGGATTGTGCTGCCATTCAAGATTGACTTTAGAAGTTCTCTTCTTTTTTTCATCTTACCGATAATTCAAGATTGTGCTACCATATGTTTATCTTTTGAGTTAACACCAAATGTCTGGTGGTTGCCGATTGCCGTGTGGATTTCGAAGCTTGACAATTGCTTATTTCTTTAGAGTGAATCTATTTCTAACATTTCATATTACTAAACCATATAAGTTTGATTCATGAGGTAAAGTTTGTAATATATATGAAGTTCCTACGCCATCTTACTTATTTACCTCTTGGAAGTATAATTGCTTCCGCAAATTGATGTTAGATTTGCCATATAAGGAAACAATATGTTTGATTATAGGCAATATATATTTTTTAATTTCTCATGCCGCTACGTGCATGATTACTAGTCTATTTAAACATGTTACTAGTTATTAAACAAGCGATTCATTAATATTTGTATTTCTCGATGTCTATATAGCCAATTTTGTGTGGACCAATGGAGATTTACGCATTAAATCCGAGAAAGTCATTAAGAGAATATATTGTTGGATTGAAATATGCCTATAAAAATAAATTTTCCAGTTTTGGAAATATGCCTATTAAAAGTTGATGGATGGAGTAATAATTGTTGGCCAAATGTTTTTAAAGTTGAATCTTAGAATATTTGCACACCTTATATTATGGGATAGAGTGAGTATGAAAAAGGTGATCAAGTCCTTCTTCAAGCTCTAGCCACAACTGGCAGCCTTGATGATGTTCGGGATGACGGGATGCCACATATAATGAAACCACCTAAACCCTAAACCCTTAGGGGAGATGAAAGATTCGATTTTAACACTTGAGGGAGGCGGTATAACTATGCTTTTATAGTTGAGAAATACGGAGTATAAATTAAATCCGGCCTATGGTTGAGGGAGTGAAATAGACCTTTTCTTGGAAGAGAAACACTATTAATGCAATTTCATCAAGACACTCTTATAGTCTTATATATGTGTGCTTGGGCTTTTTTCCAAAGCAGCCGAGCAGGGGCCAGCCGATGGACTGCGGTAATGGCCTTCAAGTTGTCTATGAGAATAGGACGCTGAAATTCGTCATAGCTCATAGAGCAGTTTCACAAACTATATACAGTTCTCCGAACAACGAACTATGACGAGTTTATTTACAACACGATCAGCCGGTGATACAGTTCTCCGAACAACAAACTCGTAAATTTTTGTTTCTTTACAAACGACAAAGCGATAACCATACAAAAGAACTTAACCTGCAAATAGTAAATAAACAAAAATATAAAAATTGAAGATGTTTTTGCCGATACTTTTGGTACGTCATCCGTGTTTGAATCGGTTTTTAAGTTCATTCGCTTTTGGAAGTATATATCCGTGTTTGAGTCGGTTTTTAATTTTGTTTGTTTTTAGAAATACAGAAGGAGTCATATAAAAAATCTCTTTAAAAAACTTGCATGCTAACTTGAGATGATCGGACCCCTAATTGCGGCTCATGATTTTATAAAAAGAATATCCAAGCGAATTCCTACAGTGAATTTCACCTTAGCTAAACTGCACAATAATAATCTTCACCCGTTGCAACGCAAGGGCATTTTTCTATAAACAAAATTTTACGAAACGAATCGGTATCACGGTTGGTTTTGTGTGGAATGGAGGGAGTAGTAGTTAGGAATAGTATAGGCTAAAATTTCCATCCACTTGTGTACTAACAATTTCTTTTAGTAATAAGTCTATTTGCCTCGCTCAACTCATGCCTATGGTTGAATCGTATCCCTTAACCGTAAAGCCGGGTATAACTTATCCCCCAATTCCAAAAACCGTAGCAAATCGACTCCCTAGACGGTTTTATCCCACGTGGCATCTTTGACCCGTTAACTGGTTGAGTCATCAGGTGGGACCCACTTATCAGCGGCCTCCATCTCATCCCATCCTCTTCCTCACCTCTCTTCCTAGATCCCTCTTCCTCCTCCTCCTCCTCCTCCTCTCTCTCTCTCTCTCTCACTGTCTCACCTTCCAGTCCCCCTCTTGTTGGTTCTGCCACCGCAGCGCTCATCACTTTGCTGCCGCTGCTGACGGCCTCCCCCTTGCCCTCGCCGACCTTCGTCCGCACTCCTACCACGAGGTGGTTCAAGGGCACTGGCGACAATGGAGACTCGGGACTGGTAAGGGGAGGAAGGTTCCAACTTGCCTCATGGCTTGGTTTTCACCACCATGGATGCCAGCGATGGCGTCGGGTTGAAGACTCTGCCCACGCTACGGCTCGGGGCGATGCCTGTGGCGGCTACGGATGAAAACGGAGCGGATACGGACGGATAATGCTAATACCATATTCGTTTTCATTTTTTTTACCGGATATGAAAACGAATACGGATAGCTCCAATACGGAAAAAAATACGGATTATCTCGAATACAAATAAGAATCGAATATGATCAGACACGAATACTGAAACATTTTTTTCTCGGAATACGAAAACCAACTCAACTTCTAACAGAAACACATATCAACATATATAATTAGCTCATTTTATATAAAGTGAAGTATAATTTATAAATGTTTTTTTAAATTTTAAATAATATTAATAGTATGGACTAGCGTTAAGAGATAAACTACTATTAAAATCTATAAAGGTATATTGAAGGTTATAGAGTTAAAAAGAAATAGGGTATATCTCATGGCTTCTGCGGATATCCGAATAGCACTGTTCACCAGATATCTGAATTATTATCCGTATCCAACGGAAACCCCGATACCATATCCATATCCGTATCTATATCCAAACTATCCGAGAATTATCTGATCTGAAAGGGAAACTGTGACATCCCGGCTCACGGCTTAATAGGATTAATAGAATAATCGTACCAACAAGTTGCAACTTCTTTTTCGGAAGTCGATCTCAAAGGAACTCTAAAGTTAAGCGTGCTTGGCCTAGAACAATTTCCCGGGAAATTCTTGTGTTGTTGTGTTGGTCTTGAGCAATTTCGGGATGAGTGACCGACCGAGAAATTCTTGTGAAATTCTTCCCGGGTGCGCACGAGTGACGATAAAGTGTGCAGAAAAGACTTGCGGGATGATACGTAAAACGAGGTGAGCCATTAGTGCATGATTAATTAAGTATTAACTATTTTAAACTTTAAAAATGGACTAATATGATTTTTTTACAGCAACTTTTCTATAGAAAATTTTTGCAAAAAAACGCACCGTTTAGTAGTTTGAAAAGCGTGCGCGCGGAAAACGAGTTACAATCTTCCCTTTCTCATGTGAACGAACACAGCCATAGAGTGGTTTTGGGAGTTGAGGGATAGGTTATACCCGATTTTACGGTTGAGAGATGCTATTCAACCGGGGGCATGAGTTGAAGGAGGCAAAACTACTTATTCCATGACAACATCTTGGGCCATAATTATGCATGGGCGGATGGGCCTATCCAAGTGAGACCTCAACGACCTGAAAAGAACCCTGGCCTGGCATCCTGTCCCACACACTGACCCACACTTTGGCCCTTGAAAAATCGAGCTCCGTCCGTACTGATCAGCCTTCAGCTCAGAATTCAGTATAATGAGCCAAGAGACGCCGGCGCGGCGTTCGCTGCCGCACCTCCTCCTCGTCTCCGCACCGTTACAGGGCCACGTCAACCCGCTCCTCTGCCTGGGCGGGCGCCTCTCTTCCAGGGGCCTCCTCGTCACCTTCACCACCGTACCCCACGATGGACTCAAGCTGAAGCTTCAGCCAAACGATGACGGCGCCGCCATGGACGTGGGAAGCGGCAGGCTGCGCTTCGAGCCCCTGCGCGGCGGCCGCCTGTGGGCACCCGCCGATCCCCGGTACCGCGCCCCCGGTGACATGCAGCGCCACATCCAGGACGCCGGTCCAGCTGCGCTCGAGGGGCTCATCCGCCGCCAGGCCAACGCCGGGCGCCCGGTGTCGTTCATCGTGGCGAACGCCTTCGCGCCGTGGGCGGCCGGCGTCGCCAGGGACATGGGCGTCCCGCGCGCCATGCTGTGGACGCAGTCCTGCGCCGTCTTGTCGCTGTACTACCACCACTTATACTCGCTCGTGGCATTCCCCCCGGCCGGAGCGGAGACGGGTCTCCCGGTCCCTGTCCCTGGCCTCCCGGCGCTGACCGTCGGCGAGCTCCCAGCATTGGTGTACGCGCCCGAGCCGAACGTCTGGCGCCAAGCGCTCGTCGCGGACCTTGTCAGCCTCCACGACACACTGCCCTGGGTTCTCGTCAACACCTTCGACGAGCTCGAGCGCGTGGCCATCGAGGCGCTCCGCGCTCATTTGCCGGTGGTGCCAGTCGGCCCCCTCTTCGACACCGGCAGCGGTGCGGGCGAAGACGACGACTGCGTGGCGTGGCTGGACGCGCAGCCGCCGCGATCGGTGGTGTTCGTGGCGTTCGGGAGCGTCGTCGTCATCGGCCGTGACGAAACGGCAGAGGTCGCGGAGGGCCTCGCGAGCACGGGGCATCCGTTCCTGTGGGTCGTGCGCGACGACAGCCGCGAGCTACACCCGCACGGCGAGAGCGGCGGCGGCGGCGACAAGGGCAAGGTGGTGGCGTGGTGCGAGCAGCGGCGAGTGCTCGCGCACCCCGCCGTCGGTTGCTTCGTGACGCACTGCGGGTGGAACTCGACCACGGAGGCGCTGGCGGCGGGCGTGCCGGTCGTCGCCTACCCGGCGTGGTCCGACCAGATCACCAACGCCAAGTTACTGGCGGACGTGTACGGCGTCGGTGTCCGGCTCCCGGTGCGTCGACGAGGTCATGAGCGGGCCGGAGGCGGAGGCGATGCGGCTGAGGGCGCGGGAGTGGAGCGACAAGGCGAGCGCGGCGGTGGCTAACGGCGGGTCGTCGGACATGGGAATCCGGGACTTCGCCGATGCTCTGCTGTCCTTGTCCGTAGAACATGGGTGCTGACTTGTCAGCGCTCTAGCGGCACATCGTACAACTGTGCATCACTGCGTGTCAAAATAAGCTGTGTTTGTACGTAACAAGTTGGGATTGGTTGCGTACATGTGGCTGTATATCACTTCCTAATCCTCCCATATTTTCGCGTTTGCATGGTGCATAAATTAAGGCAAATATTTGTGGACTCCGGCAGAGTTCGTACATGTGTGTACTCCAAGTATGAATAAAGTAATCAATTGACGGATACATTTCTAGTAACACCAGCATTTCCACACTATACGTTAAGGAAGTACTCCCTGTCCCATAAAAAAAAAACCTTTTATCAACCCTAAGCATCCCCATAACTCACTGGGCAAATGTTTTAGAGCTAGAGCATCCCTCACCAAGCACCAAGTGGTGCAGCTCGACACTTATTTAGCCCTACAGATTGCATGCACGTAATTTGAATGAGAATTGAGTGCACGTGAGAGCCTTGGAATGGGAACTGAGTGGTGAGTGTACGTGAACCGCCCGGGTGCTCAATTTCAGTGCATTCGCGCGCACCGACGGCACGAGTAGTCTCCGTTCGTTTCAAGTCTCAACACTCAACTAGATTACTAGAACACTAGTGTAATGTACTCCTAATCACTACTCTCTGCCTACATCACCGATTCACCGTTCCGGCAAAGTCTATGTTAAATATGTGATCTGAATTTCGGGCTCACAATATATTTGGATTAGTTATCTAATAGGACTCTATTTTATAGGATTAGTTTCCTATTATGGCTCCTAGACTTCTGCTATATATATCCCTTATAAGCCGCACCGGGAGGGTGCGACAGCCCAATGTATCACCTGCGTTTGTATCCAATTCCTCTATAGTGATCATTGCCGGTCGGCGCCCATATTTTTTTCACGCAATGATTTTTCACGTAAAATTCGTGTCTCCGTTGTGCATCTATTTTTATAACAAGTGGTATCAGAGCATTGGAGATCGATCTACTAATCACACAGCCACCGGTGTGATTTTTCGGATCGGAGTATATATCGATCTGATTGGCCTCGTCGTCGACGCCGCCGGGGAAGGAGCAGCAGCGCACGTCGCAGAGAATCGGCCGCAGCAGCAACGCGTCGTCATCATCGCAGAAATCAATTCGGTGAGATTGAATCACCGGTGAAGCAAACCCGAAGCGGTGTCGACCAGATCGATTTAAGCAGGTGCTCCAACACATCGATATGAATCACGTCCATCAAGCAACGCAGGAGAAAATCAGAAGCAGCAGCAGCAGGGTTGAAGCCATTGATCTATTCCGCACGCATCCCGAGGAAGGAGAAAAGTCCAAGCCTTCAGTAGCTTTCTCGGTTCTGTTCATGTGAATTAAATTTCACGTTGGAATTGTTACGTGCACACGCCCTTCGCACCAGGGATTTAAGCCTTGCATTGTTTTGGTTCTGTTCAGGGGAACACAAATTCACGTTCTAAATTGCTATATTCACAAGCCAGTCTACCAGGAGGTTCTGCATGGAAATCAACTTCGTTTTATGCACCCAGAGTGTTTCGAGTTTCTGTTAGGGTTTGATAAATTGTACCAGCAGATTCAGGATTTTATTCCCAAGGCGAGTTAGAAGTTTGATCTACCACTCCTGGATTGAGATGCAATCTCGTTATGGCAAGTGAAGATGCAAGTTGGCGCATGTTTCAAGGAGGATAAGTCATGCACCTGAGATTAAAAAAAAGTACATTCAAGTCGTCGAGAGGGAGCCTCGCTCCTGTCTAGATCACAAGATGATCAAATTGTCCGGTGAATTTTGCTACCATTGTATCCAACATACCAGGAGGTTATCAGGGGATCTAAGTACTTCGTTTTTGTGCACAAGAATTTTTCGCGTTTCTGTTTGGATTCCAGAAATTAATGCCAGCAGATTCAGGATTTTATTCCCATGGCGAGTTTGAAGTTTGTGCATCAGTTTCACGTCTCTGCTGGGTTCCACAATGTCATACCAACAGATTCAGGATTTGTTTCCAATGGCGAGTTTGAAGTATGGTCTACCTCTTCTGGATTAAGGGTGTTATGGATTATAGTCCAAGTGACTATTTGGCGCACATTGATTTTATCATCACGAGGTTCTTTGGAGATTGAAGATTTTTATGCTACAAGGGAAATTCGTCTCAAGGTGGAGATTGTTAAATATGTGATCCGAATTTCGGGCCCACAATATATTCAGATTAGTTATCTAATAGGACTCTACTTTATAGGATTAGTTTCCTATTAGGGCTCCTAGATTTCTGCTATATATATCCCTTGTAAGCCACACCGGGAGGGTGCGACAGCCCAATGTATCACTTGCGTTTGTATCCAATTCCTCTATAGTGATCATTGCCGGTCGGCGCCCATGGTTTTTCCCGCAAGGATTTTCCACGTAAAATTCATGTCTCCGTTGTGCATCTATTTTCATAACAGTCTGTGCCCCTATGCTCGCTTCCCTCGAAAGAGAGAACTATTGTGTCCATTTGTGTGTGGGAGACGGTTACGTGCTAACGTGCTAGCACGAGTAGTTGCGCCATTGTAGCAGTCGGGCCAGCCACGTGGTTCCTGACTTAAAATACTACTTTCTCCATTTCATATTATAAGACTTTCTAATATTGCTCACATTCATATATATGTTAATGAATCTAGACATATATGTGTGCCTAGATTAATTAACATCTATATGAATATTAGTAATCCTAGAAAGTTTTATAACCTGAAACGGAGAGAGGGAGTAGTATGTTGATAGCTTCCCATGGCTTTTACTCTCCACTCGAAATCTCGTAACAGCTCTTGTTTAATTTCGGTGGTTATTCAATAACCAGACCGGTTCGGTTGGCCATCGCGCTCCCATGCTCGGCAAAGCCCAGAACCGGCGTGCGTTTCTGAGGAGATACTGTGGTGCCCACGCCGTGATACCGATAGTTCCAGGAGCAGACACAGCGACGCCGAGCTGGAGTAGAGTTTGTTGGTTTTTCTTGTCTCATCTCGGAGAAAAGCGGCTCCCCTCCATTATCCGATACATCGGAGATTTGGACTTCGTTGGTAGCTGCACTACTGCCGTGCATGCAGCCGCGCGCAGCCAGCGAAATGAGCCAAGAATCAGCAGCCGCCGCGGCCACGGGCATGGCGCCGGCGCCGGCGAAGGCTCAGCCGCACGTGCTACTCGTCTCCAGCCCTTTCCAGAGCCACGTCAACCCCCTCCTGCGCCTCGGCCGCCGCCTCGCCGGCAAGGGCCTCAGCGTCACCTTCACTACGGCTCTCCGCGACGGCATCCGCGTCTTCGACGACGGCGACGGCGGCGGCGGCGGCGTCCGCGTCGAGCGCCTCCGCGGTGGAGGGATGTGGGAGCCCGACGACCCACGGCTCCGCATCCCTGGGGACATGGCGCGCCACGTCGAGGCCGCCGGGCCGGCGGCGCTCGAGGAGCTCATCCGCCGGGAGGCCGAGGCCGGGCGGCCGGTGGCGTGCGTCGTGGCCAACGCCTTTGTCTCCTGGGCGGTCCGCGTCGCCGGCGACGTCGGTCTCCCGTGCGCCATACTGTGGATCCAGTCGTGCGCCGTCCTGTCCGTGTACTACCACTATGTCTACTCGCTCGCGGCCTTCCCGTCCGGCGACGAGGCTGACTCCTCCGGCGCCGTGACCATCCCGGGTCTCCCGGAGCTGGACATGGACGAGCTACGGCCACTCCGGATTTACACTTCCGACCAGGAAATGTGGCGCCAGATGCTCGTCGGGGATCTCGGCAGCATGACGGAGAAGGCGCCATGGGTTTTCGTGAACACGTTCGACGAGCTCGAGCACGAGGCCGTGGCGGGGCTTCGCAAGCATATACCGCTTATACCGGTCGGTCCACTCGTCGAGCCAGACGACGGCGGCGTCGACGACGACGACGTCCACGGTTGCACCGCGTGGCTCGACGCGCAGCCACGGAGGTCAGTGGTGTTCGTGGCTTTCGGGAGCCTCGTGGACATCGGCCACGACGAGGTGGTGGAGATAGCGGAGGGGCTTGCCAGCACGGGCCGCCCGTTCCTGTGGGTGCTGCGCGACGGCAACCGCGCGCTCCTCCCCAAGGACGCCCTCATCGACGCCTGCGGCGGCGACCGGGGAAAGGTGGTGCCGTGGTGCGAGCAGCGGCGCGTGCTCGCGCACGCCGCCGTGGGCTGCTTCGTGACGCACTGCGGGTGGAACTCCACCGCCGAGGCGCTCGCCGCGGGCGTACCGATGGTGGCCTCCCCGAGGTGGTCCGACCAGCGCATCAACACGCGGTTCGTCGTCGACGTCTACCGTGTGGGCGTCCGAGCCCCGGCGACGCCGCTGACGAGGGAAGCGCTCCGCCTGTCCGTCGAGGAGGTCACGGCCGGGCCGGAGGCGGAGGCGATGGCGGCGCGCGCGGCGATCCTGGGGGAGAATGCGCGCGCCGCCGTGGGCGGCGGCGGCTCGTCGGACCGCGGCGTCCAGGCGTTCGTTGACCGGATAACGTCCGGAGGCGCGGAGCCGTGACTTGCCCGATCGGATCACGTCGCGTTGGCGGTTTGGCGCGTAGTAGTTTGCATGGGTCACCTTGAAGCTTGAATTCCTTCCTGGATAGGCATGTGAGGATCTGTTTGCATGTTCAATGGGTCACTTGACCTCCCGAATAAAGTTTAGCAAAACTAGATATAGTTTAACAGACATTGCATGTGCAGTGGATGCTGTCGGCCTGTTGCTACTTGCACGGTCATCTTCTACCCCTGATTTTCCAGCCTTGCAGGAACAGGAAACCAGAGGTTCGTGGCCATCTGACTGCTGAGTGCATGTGCTTATTACCTGTGTTTTGCAGCAATGATCTGTTTTGTGCTTTGTGTTTGCCCAACCTCTCTATTTGTAACTGTTATATATGTGACTGCACGGCCCCGTTCGTTCTCTCCAGTTGTAGGGATATTTTCAACGCACTGAAACGAAAAAAACTCATTAGTAAATGTAGTGTATAATGTTCGCACCTAAAGTCATCTATAGTGTATACAGCGGTTTATATAGCACGAAATGTGAGACCATACAACAATTAAAAAAAACAGATTGGCTCTGTGGTTGCACAACAGCGATCATTTTGTCAAATTTTAATGGATTTAGCTGACACATACAATTTTTTTTAATCGTCTCCAGGATTTTGAGGCCCCGGAACAAAATACAAATTGGGTCCTAAAATTTAATAAACCAATATTACTTTCATTCAACTATATAACTTTAATATGTATTATTCTGTATAATATTTATAAATACATTTTCAAGTATTAATGCTAAGAGAGTATAAAGGTAATACCTTATATTCTACTGAAAAACATCATTCGCCTAGTTAAATCCGTAGTTTCTCTCACAACAAATTTATCAACAGCACTTTTATGATTGAGCTGCTTCATCTAATCTTTGGTTCTTCTTATGTTTTTGAGCATCCGAATCATACTTCATGTTTCTAAATGAAATGCTGAGGATTTGAGTAAATGAATGTCTTCATGTTTTATAAACAAAAGAGAAGACATTCACATTACTTTTAATTCAATAATCAATCTATGGATCATTCAAAATACTATAATGTAATTTCATTAGGTTTGTTTCAAATTAGTAAATTACCAATTCCAACTTTTCAATTCCCGAGGACGAATAGATGACTCAGATGAGAATTGAGAAGTTGAGAACACCACTCGGAGCTGTTTGCCGTTCGCCGCTGCTTGCTAGGCGCTACGGTTGGACCTCGCAGCCTCGGAACCTCGATCGCCGCCGCTTGGGTCGGTGCGCTGCTTGCCTTCTTGTCGTTCGCCACTGGCCATGGGCTGGGTGTTGGACCTTGCGGCCTTGGCACCTCACTGCTCCACTCAGCAACGTTGGTGTTCACGATCTTGGCGTTTGGCGACGTCAACATTGTGCTACTTGTTGTCAAGACATTGTCGCTACCACTTGCTGCACTACACGCCGCAAGTCGCTCCTCCGCAAGCTAATAACGAAGCCGAAGCGAAATTTGCCTTCTGCCTAAGCACTCTTGACTCCTTGCCTCCTCGTTCGTGGGCCGCTGAACTTAGGCTAGGCTGCAAGCCTACTTTGTGATGGGGGCCCAAAGAATTGGGGGCCATGTGCGGCTACATGGCCTTCAATGGTACGAACCACAATTTTTTTCCTTAGCTTCAATACCTGTAGTGTATGATCGGATCAAGCTTATTTCTCCATTTTTTTTCCGATTTTGTGATATTTTGGAGATGGCCTAAGGGCTAAGGAGTGCCGTATTTATCCTTTTCATGATCATTTCACTTTTTAAAGCACATAAACATTACATGGCGTTTTGGTTTGATACCAAAATGTGCCATACCAATTTTTAGGTAGTTTGAATAGTAAATGTAATGATTTGGTTTAAAGCCAGATATTTGGTAATGCTTATACTTAATTTGGCACAATTCTAAAATATTCTTACCACAATTTGAAATTTGGCTCTCAATTGACATAAATCCAAACACATCCATTTACAATTCTACCCTATCAAAATATTAATAGTACCAAAACTTGCATAGATTTTGGCACTACCAATATTTTGGTAGGGTACTAGACCAAATAAGCCCTACATTACATTATATGAGTGCTAGGCAGTTCTTAGAGATGTGTTCGAGTTACTCCCTCCGTCCCAAAAAAAGGCAAACCCTGGGTTTCCGTGTCTAACTTTGACTGTCCATCTTATATGAAATTTTTTTATAATTCATATTTTCATTGTTGTTAGATGATAAAACATGATTAATATTTTATGCGTGACTTGTCTTTTTAATTTTTTTCATAATTTTTTAAATAAGACGGACGGTCAAACGTTGGACACGGAAACCAGGGTTTGCCTTTTTTTGGATGAAGGGAGTAGGTTGTAACTGGAGTACCATGTTGGCAACTTAACATACTTTATAAACTGGTGTAAAGTACACGGCGTGACGACAAACCCATGTAAAGTTTGAAAATTGAATCACTCACCCGATTGTTAGGAACATATATAGTATCATATATATGTTTTTCTATATTCTTCTTCCACCGTCAATGAGAGGCCAAGCTGGTCTAAGCTAGGTTCCGTTCATCGTCTGTATTTCAATACTTCTTGACAAGGTGATAAGTGGCTTCGCGTGTTTTATTATCTCTTAACTTAAAAACGTGGACCACTTTGATGAAACCTAAATCCAAGCAAAGTTACACGTGCCACGGACGGCAGGTCCAAACTTTTTCTCATGCACCGGTGCGGCGGCCACGAGAGTGGCACGAACCCTTTTCCGGATGGAAGCAAACACATCACCGCTCCAGTGTGTGCAGAACCCCGCGAGTGAGGGAACCCCCATCTCCTACAAACGCGGAATTATTTTACCCATTCACCACCGCAAACTTGACCCAAATTCGAAACGCGTCCTCGCGTCCGCGGTCCAAAAGCCCCTGCCCCTCCTCGCTCTCTCTCTCTCTCTTGTGCCTCCTCCCTTCGCAATCGCCGCCGTGTCCGTGCAGCCCTCGCCGCGATCTCCCTTCCCCTCCTCCTCCCGATCCCCACCATGGCTGGAATAAGGCTGACGCCGGAGGAGCCCGAGCTGCCGCAGGGCACCCCGCCCCGCCCCCAGCTGCCGCCCGCCTTCGCCGGCGCGGGCGCCGTCCTGGCTGGCAGTGGCAGCGGCGGCGGCGGCGGCCTCGAGATGGCGTCGGACGACGAGCGGTCGGTGGCGGCGGACTCGTGGTCCGTGCGGAGCGAGTACGGGAGCACGCTCGACGACGACCAGCGGTACGCCGACGCCGCCGAGGTGCTCGCGGCGGCCGCGGCCTCCGCCAACTTCCCCTCCGGTGCCTCCGATTGCTGGTATTTTGGCTCCTGGCCCTACTTAACTCGCGTTGAATTGTCTGTCTGGGATTGCGAACTGTGACGCTAGCGGCTCTGGAATGTGGATCTGGTGAATTTTGTTGGAAATAATAATGCTTGATCTCATGGACGCCTTGCCTTTCTAGATACCCTACAGGGTTATGTAGTCTCATGCTCTTGTGGAGTTGCCGTCCGTACCTTTTACTTTGTGCACTTTCTGGTTGCGACTAGCTTGATGATTGCATTTAGGATTGTAATCAAATATGTGGAAAGAGGAAGTGCTAGAGATGTCTTTGCCAGCTTCGTGGTTATTGGGCAAGTTGGCATCGGAAGTCAGATGCGCATCCAAATTGACTGTGGTCAGACATCCAAGCGAGTTTATTGTTGAAAAGCAAAGCAAATTCACCCACTTTGTTTTTGTGCTGGAGTTTAAGCCTCGAGGCAGTGCAAATCATCCCTTAGCACTGAAAAATGTGACAAATTACACATGACGGTTTTTTAGAAGACCCTTTCTGTTTAGTTAGTGATACTTGATGATCATATGGACCCATCACCTACACGCGTTTGATTGCCTAATCCAATATAAAGTAGACTTTATTTTATCTATTGCTGCTAGATAGGTTGGGTTATGGGTAGGTGTCCACTAACCAGTGGCAGAAAATACATTTTAGGTATAATCATAGCTTCCTGACTGCCTGTCCACTATAGGACTAGAAAGCCACTAGAACCATGTAAGTTCCTCCAGGGGAAATATACTCCATTCTAAAAGACAAAGTCCATTCTGATGTCACGTTGAAGGACGAGACCAAGAGGTTGAGATTGTAATACTGTATCACTCCACCTCATTGTTTGAAGGTGGCCTATCTACGCACTCTTTAATAGATATGACATGGATCGATGCAATGAGCATATATCATGCTCCAGAGTGTATAATCAGAATACATACATTATATTTGTAGACAATTGGTACATTTTGCTATTTAAGGATGGATCAATATACTAGATCGTTTATGGCATGTTGCATATCAGCATAAATGGCAAGAGGGGAAACGTGTCTGTTGCCTACTTATTTCTTTCCTTTGAATTTTCTTGTGATTAGTTTTATAATTGGTCTGTTATTATCAGCAGTTTTTGTTTTAATATTCTAAAATATTGCTGTGTTGACACAGTTCTGACAAAGATGATCAAGATCCTAGCGAGGTTGAAGGCTCAATGCTGGGGCTCCAAAGTTATTGGGATGCTTCTTATTCAGAAGATCTTGCAAATTTTCAGGAACATGGGCATGCTGGAGAAATATGGTGACTACATACCATGATTTTTTATACCGAAAAATTTGGTCATTCAGATTAAGTAAATAGAAAACTGAAGTGTTGATATATCAGTTGATGCAAAAAAGCCCAATAAGTTGACACTAATTAGTTATAATTTTTATCTGTTGATAATTGACATTGCTTAAACTCAGAAAAATGCAAGTATGGTTGTGTAGAGTTTCTTTTTCTTTTTTTAAAGTAGATACCTCCCAAGGAATGTAAAGGAACCTGGTAGTGTGAACTTAAAGTTGTTGGAGGTGTACTATCATTCTTTTGTTGTTTTTTTTCACTATCTGCTGAAAATCCAATTTAGTACCTGCTTTGATTATGTATGTGACTGTTTAGGTCTTTTCAATTTTTTTTAATGGTACAGATGTATTGGTATATGCATCAATCACAAGCTTCGCAAACCTGTGGCCAGAGTTTGATCCTCAAACTCAGAATTTGGATATCAAAATATCACCTTGCCTTGTTATTTACTTAACTTGACTCTCATGGGGTGGTTTTTATTTATAGGAAATTACTCGATGATTCATTGGCATTTCTCTAAAAATTTGGTTGATTCAGGATTGTCTTTTGGGTTGTGAACAGAGCTTTTCTCTGTTTGTAGGTTTGGTGCAGATGTAATGGACACCATGGCTGTTTGGACAAAAAAATTGTGTATAGACATTATTAATGGTGGGACTCCATCTGGTAATGAAAGCATCAATTGTGAAGTTGATGAGAAGCAACTATCCAACTACCCTGTGCTCGATGTTGGAACTGGGAATGGGCTTCTTTTGCAAGCACTTGCCAAGCAGGGGTACAACCTAATGTTTTCTTAAATATGGCTTAATTATCCTCCCTTTTATGTGCATTGCACCGAATTTTGTTTCGGATTTGTCTTCTGAATGATTGACACCTCCATGTTTTCTTTTGTTTATTGGACTGGGATGCTTTTCATACAATTTCAAAAGTTTTAACAATGATAGTTGTGCCTCATTAATTATTAAAAAGTCAATAAAATAAGTTTTTGGCGGATAATAGAATATATTTGAATCAAACTATCAGATAACAACACATAAGTTTTCTTCCTGACTTTCTTAGAACTAACTAGGGACTTATTGAACCTTTTGTCTTTGTTCATGTGCTTATACCATATCTTATTTTATCCTGGCTAAAATTTTCTAGTGGACTTTCAAAATATATGTTTGCTTATAGTGTTTCCAAAATGATAGCCCTTGACCTCATTATTCATTTCAAATAGAGTAAACTGAATATCTTGTTTTTTCAGGTTTTCAAATTTAACAGGGACTGATTACAGTGAAGGAGCCATTGAACTTGCAAAAAACCTTGCTGCACGTGATGGGTTTACTTCTATAAATTTCTTGGTTAGTGTACTATATTCAAGTCGAAGTTTCTTCTTCCTTGAGTGCTGCAAATACTTTCTACTTGAAGAGAATCTGCCCGGCTACATTTTTCAATAAATATCATGTAAAGTTCTAAATAATGTTGAGTTACTATTGTCAGATGCACTGCAGCTCAAATAGCAAGAGTCTATGGGAACAATAGCTACTCTACTTGTTTTATCCTAGAAGCATATTTGCATCAGTGTAGAATGAAAAACTAAAGGTTTGATAGGAAACGCTTAGTTTGTTTATCCAAACCAGCCTTTTACTTCAATTTCTCATGTCTCTTCAAGTAAACGTTTGGAAGATCATTACATTAACAGCATATTATATATATATATATATATATATATATATATATATATATATATATATATATATATATATATTTAATCACAACATGTATGATAGCTGGCAGTTGTGATGGTTTTTGAAAGTTAAAACATCAAACTACCGTAATAGCTGTGGGACATATGCACAAAAAGTTTTGGTTCCTGAATGAGAAAGCATATTTTCTTTATAATGTCTAAAATGTCCATCATTTCTGCTCATCTTTGATATTCTTTTATTGTACCTTGCATATTGAGGTTGATGGTTTCTAAGCATGGCAGCTGACACTGGATGACTGGAAACTTACCGATGCATTTTTATTCGAGTACTTACATCTGTGGTGCTCTCATGACGGTGGTCACTTATATTTGCATCTGTAATAGGTTGATGATATACTTGAGACAAAGTTAGATAGAAAATTCAAAATTGTTACAGACAAAGGGACATTGGATGCCATTGGATTGCACCCTGATGGTCGTATAAAAAGGTACAACAACATGACTTGCTTGGTCAATGTTTTGTTAGCTAGCCCCTTATTTAATTTCTAATGCATTTCATAAATTATTCCAAAGCTTTGAATATTAAATTGATTATGCATGTAGCTGTTGATATATTTAGTGAAGATATAATCATCCAAGATAAGCTATCCAAGCATTGCATGCTAACATTGGAATAAACTGGGTTCATGAGTTGTCCTGCCCCATTCAGCTTATCTTGATATCCTGCAATATTTGAACAAATTTAGCATTTATGTTGTATAAATATGACTATCAACAGGATTTTGTAGGTTTAGGTTTAGAAACACTTGATTGTACAGGCTAACAGTACATTGATGAGTGTTGCCATGCACCTCGTGGTGATACCATTGGGAGACTGTAACTTAATGTTAGACATACTTGGTTCAATAATCAGTAACTGTATCAACTTTAAGTCTGACCTTTTCTCATTATTTTTTTCCAGAGTAATGTATTGGGAGTCTGTATCGAACTTGGTTGAACCTGGTGGCATTGTGGTCAGTACTTTATTCTTTGAAATTCTAATTTGTACCTCTGCTCTCTAATTCTAATTTTAGGTAGGAGTAATATCTACCAGTAATTCCTATTATATTTATTCCACTCGGTACCTCATGTTTTTAATTAACCTTTGCATACCTTATTATTGTACCTCTCATGACAGTAGAAAACTCCTGTACCAAAGTTCGATGCTTGTATTATATTTTTTTTCTGCAAATTCATGTAAAAAACATCCTGGGGGATACCTCTTCAGGTCGTAACATCGTGCAACCACACAAAGGATGAGCTTGTGCAAGAGGTAGAAGATTTCAGTAAGACGAAATCTGGTAAGGAACACTTGGATGAAGGTGAAGGTAATGTGCCACAGATCTTCCGGTACATCGATCATGTCCGGACATACCCTACCATTATGTTTGGAGGGGTTGAGGGTTCTCAAGTGTGCACGGTGGCCTTCCAACGGGTGTGAGAACTGAGAACCACTCATTCTTGGCCGTTTAATTATGTTGTCACCCGAAGAACTAGAGAGAAGGAAGTTACGTACTTCACCTCTGAGATTATTATCATCTCTGCTCATCGTAGTTTAGCCCTTCTGTACGGTGTAGCTCAATGTATCCTTGGTTATAACTGTTACTATACCAGACTAGAGCACGGGACTGTTCCATTTCAGTTACCCAGAAAGAGAGTATTAGGACATCTCCGAAGCAATTTTTGCAATCAGGCATCCTTACCTGTACTATTAATTCACCATGAGCTTTTACACCGCATTTTTGTTTGAAGCTATATTTAGGCCCTCTTTAGTTTCCAAAACAAAAATTTTCACGCTGTCATATATGATGTTTTGACACATGTATGGAGTATTAAATGTAGGCTAAAAAAACCAATTACACATATTGCGTGTAAATTGCGAAATGAATCTTTTAAGCCTAATTGCACTGTGATTTAACAATGTGGTCCTACAGTAAACATTTGCTAATGACGGATTAATTAGGTTTAATAAATTCGTCTCGCAGTTTCCTGGCAGAATATGTAATTTGTTTTGTTATTAGAATATGTTTAATACTTTAAATGTGTGTTTGTATATCCGATGTGACAACTAAACCTAAAAATTTTCTCCAACTAAAGGCCTTACAAGCCGTACTTTTCTAGTATTGCACTCTCTTACGCAATCGGAATCGCCAGTAGCATCGCCGATGCTGATGACGATTCCGATCTCCATGGTACCAAGTCCCCACTATAATAAAGGCATGGCCATAATTCTACCCTAATAACTATACCTACCATATAATAGTTATATTTCTCCGTTTCATATTATAAGATTTTCTAGCATTCGCCATATTTATATATATATATATGTTAATGAATCTAGACACATATATAAATATAGGCAATGCTAAAAGGTTTTATAATATGAAACGGATGAAGTATATGTGTTTAAAAATATGTACAACTTTATACAAAAGTTGTTATATAAAGGTACCATGTAGTTAATTAGAACTAATTTTATTATAGAGTAAATTGCACTGGTGGTTCTTAAACTTGTGAGGAGGTTTCATCCAGGTCCATGAACTAACAAATCCAGGGTAAGGGCACTAATCTTGTTTTATTGTATCAATCCGGTCCAGAGAACGCTTTGACTCATTTCGTGCATACGTGGACAGCAACGTGTCACGACATGTGTGATGCCACACCGCACCATCCCACACCGTGCCCTTTTTCATCTAAGCCCCTCTGTTCACTCGAATTCTTTAAACCCTAGCCCTCTCTTCTATCTGTTCTTCTCCTCTAGACGACGAGTGAGGGCGTGGGAGGGCAACTGAAGAGGAGTGGCGAGGGAGGGCTTTTGGCTGAGAGTCGACGGCGGGGGAGGGCTTCCGGCTAAGAGTCATCAAAGAAATAGACCACAACTAGCACAACTACCACCCATCTGCAATCAACCCAAAAAAAACTCAAATTTTGGGTCCATTCTACATACCGTACACCGGCGGCGGCTCCCCTACTAGTCGAAACAACATGCCTCCTCACCGGCTTCAACACCTTCGGGAGGCCAGCGTCAAGACTCCGCACCCTCCCCGCAACCTCTGAATCCCTATCTCACCAGCGATCGCAGCCCTCAATTTCTATGGCGATCGCCTCTGCTTCGTCGTCCAGAGGAGAAGAACAGATAGAAGAGAGGGTTAGGGTTTGGAGAATTCGAGCGAACAGAGGGGCTTAGATGAAAAAGGGCACGGTGCGGGGCGGTGCGGTGTGGCATCACACGTGTCGCGACACGTTGTTGTCCACGTATGCACGAAACGGGTCAAAGCGTTCTATGGACCGGATTGATACAATAAAATAAGATTAGTGCCCTTGACCCCGGGTTTGTTTGTTTATGGACCTGGATGAAATCTCCTCATAAGATTAAGGACCGCCAGTACAATTTATTCTTTATTATAGTTAAATTTGATTTTTTTTAATCGAGAAACTTATGATAGTTTCTTTTAGCAATTCCCAATTAGAATGGACCCTCTCCAAAAGAAATCCGGGTGCAATCGACGGAAAGGAAACGTATTGCATGACGGTGGTCTACGGTGCACCGAATCCACGCTCCCTTCTCGTCGTTTTTTTCTTCAAGGCCATATATCCGCATATCGTGTGTTTCTTTTGAGTTTTGCGCCGTTCTCCTTTCCTCTCACGGTCACGGGTCGCCACGCCCCTCCTCTCCTCGTCCGTCTCGACTCCGGAGGCCGAAGCGCCGTCTCTATCCACGCAGATCCCCTCTCCCCCTCTCACGCCGTACGTTCACCACCACCTTTTGATCCATCTCATGGCGTCGGTTCCGGATTTGAATCCGTGGGTCGTGCTGGACAGGTACGTGAGGGATGCCGATCTCGTCGACACGCAGCGAGATCCCAGGTGGGCGGCCGTCAAGTGCGCACGCAAGGAGGCCTACGGCTGCGGGGAGTTCGGTCAGGAGCTGGTGGATGGCCTGACGCTGTACGTGCGCCGCAACGATGGCCCCAGCGACGATCTCTTCTCCGCCCTCGCCGTCCGTGCCACCGACGAGATGCTGCGGAAGGTCGCGGCGCCAACGAAGATCCAGAAGAGCCTCATCCGCCCGCTCTTCCGCTGTCAGGCAAGTATGAATGCCCGCGTCACCTTCGTCTGCGAGTTGCACGCCGCGGAGGAGAACCTCGTCGTCCTCTCCGCGTCCTTCGACCACGCCCACCACATCTACTACCTCGTCTACGACGGCATCGACGAGTCACTCACCATGATCCCGAGCCTGTCACCGCACCGCTTCGTGGCCTTCCACCCGCGGCCTGTCCTAAGGCGCCGCGCCACTGGGGGCTATGACCTGGCCCTCATAGCGAGGTACCTCAGCAGGAAGAGCAGAGAAGACGGGGACGTTCTCCTTCTGTTTACCAAGGAGAAGGAGAGTTCCTGCTGCTCCGATCAGTGGATGGAGAAGAAGAAGGGTATGCGCCTCCCAACGGGGCCCCTGGGCTTCTTCTGCCCGGACATGATCTTCTCGTTCAAGGGCAACACTTTCTGGGTCGATCTCTCACAGGGTTTCATGTGCTGCGACACCAATGTCCTCTTCTCTGGCGACACCGTGGATTTCAGACACCTCAGCTTCCCCCACCAGTACCTGCTTCATGACATTATCAAATCCCAGGAGCTTGGCCCGATGGAGATGTACCGGACCATGGGCGTCTCCGGGGGCTCCATCAAGTTCGTCTCTATCAACACTCCGGCTACTGATGCCGCGGCAGGCAAACCGCCGGGCAGGCCCTGTCATGACGCCACTGCATTAGCCAACACAACAGTGGCCGTGTGGACACTGGACCAAGGTGGCCTGTGCTGGAAAAAGGATGTGGAGTTCAGGCTGGGGAACATATGGTCGCAACGGGACTACAAGCAGTCTGGGTTGCCCAGGATGGTACCCGTGTGGCCCTTCCTAAGGCCGCACGCACATGGCACACTCTACTTCCTGGTGCCGAAACCGATGACCGGACCTAGTGACCCCCAAATGTATCACATTTGCGGGCTCGACATGTGCACCAAGAAAATCCAGTTGTCGCAGTACTCCGTCCGCTCCAATATCCTCCGGCCGGCTGCCTTCCCTACCAATGCATTCCAACACCTTGATGAGTCCCCACTAGCTACAAAGTAATTCTACTGTAAGGACTGCTACATCATTTGAATTGTAAAATTTGTACTTTGCTTTTTCTTGTGGATCACACACGGCACGCCTCGTCTTGTTTATATCACTGAAAAATATCTAGCAGGGTTACCATCTAAGTTCTATGATGTTTTTGTCTGGCAGGATTGCTTGAGTTAACTGGAGGCAGGGAATGTTCATCAAGGCAGTGCGGAGTTGGGATTCTATATGCAAGGTTGCTTATTACTTTCTAGGTATCGTGTTTTGGGTCGAAGGCACTTCCCAACTCGTAATTTATCGTCACTCTATATAGCCTAGGACCCTATTGATGCACTTGCGAAACTGATTATGTGCTTCCTTATTGATTCTGTATCCGTGCGACGAACTAATCTAGCTACTTGTTATATTATTATCTATCTAGCGCTGTGGTTCAGGCTGAAATGCTGAAATGGATTTGGCCACAATATTTAGAGTAACATCTCTCTTTGATTGTCCTTGTTGGATAATTGTGCTGCGATTTGCCAAGTTGTTTGATATTGTTTGCAGCTGATCGAAATTCGCTCCTGAGCAGCTGCTTTGGTATTTACAATACCATTTGAAATTCGGAAACTTTTCTGAATATCTGAATTATGTTCGTTTTTTTTTCTCTTTTTGAAACTTGGATGGTTTTGCTTAATGGTTTGTTGATGCGAACTGGAGTGAATATCATTTGTACTCCTGATTCAGCGTTGTCTGCCATTCAGTTTTGACAGCAAGCACAGCACAAACCTGAAGAATGAAAATCTTCAATGCTTGGACTAAAAGTATGTGGGTGTTCTTTCCTTTCGCAATCTTATTATGCAATTGCTTAGTATGTTGGTTGTTTTAATTGGATTGGGAGTATGCCAATCCAGATGGTCGTTATTAGGGGCTGTGTAGCAGGACAAAATTTGCTCTCAAATCAAACCACGACTCTGCCAAAGTTTTTGTCACCTAGGACCATATGTCGTTGGAGTTTTTTATTTGACAATAATTGTAGCTACATAATAATCTAGCACTCTAATAACGTGTCGTGTTCTTCATGCTGAAATGTCTCACATATTTAGGGTTTATCTCTCTTTGATCATCCTTGCTGGGTTATTGCCTTGCAATTTGCAATTTGTATCGGTGTTGAGCGCAGGGTTTGCAGCAAACCTTGTGAAAACCGTTTGAAATATGGAAACTATGCTGAAATTCGAATCCAGTTTGATCTTTTTTTTTCTTTTTGGAACTTGGGCGGTTTTGATAGGAAGGTGCAGGTAATGTGCCCCAGATCTTCTGGTACATTGACAGTGAATTACACGTTCTATTTATAGTCAAATTTATTATTTTTGTTTATACTTGTATAAGTCAAATTTAAATTTGCATGTTTGTGAAATGACATATCACATATTGATCTATCGTAATATTTTTTTTTCAATTTTTTTGATGATTTTTTTAAGTAACATGCAAAAATGAGGATATCCCCTTAATTTATGAATTGAGTTTTCAATGTATAGGACTAGACTACTACAGAGCATAGGACTGTTCCTTTTCATTTACCTGTCCCGTTTCAGTTATCCGTATAGAGGGTATTAGGACAATTTATAAACAAATTTTTTGGCATGAGCATGAGCATGGCCATACATGTACTATTATTAATTCAGCATAAGCATGGCACCGTATTTTTGTTTGAAATTATATTTTTCAGAGCTTTAGTTTCGGACTTTCGGTTCACTACCCTTTCCAGTGTGTGTGCACTCCAAATGAATTTTCAGAATTCCGTGTCGGACTGCCGTGGCCATACGCAATCGGAATCGCCAGTATCACTGACGCCGCTGACGAGTCGGAGTCGGATCTCCTTTGTATCATCACCCGCCGCTATAAAAGCATAACCATGCCCCATAATTTCTCTCAACTTCTCACGGATCGAGGGAGTTTGAGACCTCGCCGTAGACAGCGGGAAACGCGGGCGCGCGCGCGCAGCGCAGGTAATGGCCGCCGCCGTCGTCGCGATGCCGGTGGCGCTGGCCCTGCCGTCGGAGGCCGACCTGCCGTACGAGGAGGACGTCCTGCGGGACCCGCACAGCATCCGCCCGTGGCGCCGCTACCTCGCTGCCCGCGCCGCCGCGCCCCTCCAGGAGCGCGCCGTCATCTACGAGCGCGCCGTGCGCGCCCTCCCGGGCAGCTACAAGCTCTGGCACGCCTACCTCCTCGAGCGCACCGCCGCCGCCGCGCGCGCCAAGCCGCATTGCGGGGAGCACCCGGCGAACGAGGCCCTGAACCGCGCCTTCGAGCGCGCGCTCGCCACGCTGCACCGCATGCCGCGGATATGGGAGATGTACCTCGCCGCGCTCCTCGAGCAGCGCCTCGTCACGCGCGCACGCCGCGCCTTCGACCGCGCGCTGCGCGCGCTCCCCGTCACGCAGCACCACCGCGTCTGGCCGCTCTACCTCCGCCTCGCCGCCCTCCCTTCCTGCCCCGCCGAGACCTCCATCCGCATCTACCGCCGGTTCCTCCAGTTCGAACCCTCCCGCGCCGACGAGCTCGTCGAGCTCCTCGTCTCCGCTGGGCGGTGGCAGGAGGCAGCCGATCACATTGTCTCGGTCCTCAACGGCGGAAGCGACGTCAGTGACAACAACCGTGCTCTCCTGCTCAAGCTGTGCGACCTTCTCGCCAAGCACGCCGACGAGGTCGCCGGGCTCAAGGTGGAGGCCGTGCTCCGCGGCGCCATGCGCGAGTTTCCGGACGAGGCCGGAAGGCTGCGCGCGCTGCTCGCCGAGTGCTACGCACGAAGAGGGCTTTACGACAAAGCCAGAGACGTCTTCGAGGAAGGGGTGACCACGGCGGCCACCGCAGCTGAGTTCGCGCTGGTGTTCGAAGCGTACGCGCAGCTCGAGCAGAGCTTGGTCGCGGCGAAGATGGAGAAGACGGCGGACGAGGAAGGCGACAAGCTCGTGACCGGTTGCTGGTTGGCCGACGGCGACGACGGCGACATGTGCCTGGCGAGGCTGGAGCGGCTGCTCGACCGCCGGCAGGAGCTTCTCAACGGCGTCCTCCTGCGTCAGAACCCGCACGACGTCGCACAGTGGCACCGGCGGGTGAAGCTCTTCGACAATGACCCCGCGCGGCAGGCGGCGACCTACGTCGAGGCCGTCAGGACCGTCGACCCGGCGAAGGCGACGGGCAAACCAAGCACGCTGTGAAGATGTACGAGGCGCACGGCAACCTGGACAGCGCCGACGAGGTGTTCGCGAAGGCCACGCAGGCGAGCCACAGATCGGCCGACGACCTGGCCACCGTGTGGTGCGAGTGGGCGGAGATGCAGCTCCGGCACAAGCGCTTTGACAAGGCCATCGCCCTGATGCGACAAGCCACCGCGGAGCCCTCGGCCGAGGTGAAGCTGCGAGCCGCCGCCGCCGCCGCCGGCGACGACGAGCCTGCCCAGCTGAAGCTTCACAAGTCCGCAAAGCTGTGGAGCTTCTACGTCGACCTGGAGGAGAGCCTGGGCGCGCTGGCGTCGACGCGCGCCGCCTACGAGGGCGCCATGGCCGCGCGCGCCGCGACGCCGCAGATGGTGATCAACTACGCCTCGTTCCTCGAGGAGCGCGGCTACTTCGAGGACTCGTTCGCGGCGTACGAGACGGGCGCCAATCTGTTCGGCCACCCGCACAGCAAGCCCATCTGGGACACCTACCTCGAGAGGTTCGTGGCGAGGCACGGCGGGAGCAAGGCCGAGCGCGCGCGGGAACTCTTCGCTGAGGCCACCCGCCGCGCTCCTCCCCACGACAGGGCGCGCCTCTTCCTGCGCCACGCCCGGTACGAGGAGGAGTTCGGCTCCGCCGCGCGCCATGGCCGTCTACGACGAGGCGGCGCGGTCCGTGCCGGCGAGCGACAGGGCGAGCGTCTACGAGGCCTACGCGGGGCGGGCGGCCGAGCTCCGCGGCGTGCCGAAGGTGAGGCGGGTCTACGAGCAGGCGATCGAGTCCGGCGGCCTCCCTCGCCGCGACGCCCTGGCGCTGTGCCTCCGCCTCGCCGCGCTCGAGGAAGCGCTGGGAGAGGCCGCCCGCGCTCGCGCCGTGTTCGTGCACGCGTCGGGCTACGGCGATCCCGACGCCGACGAGGAGTTCTGGGCGAAGTGGAGCGGCTTCGAAGTCCGGCACGGCGACGAGCGCACCTTCACAGACATGCTCCGGATAAGGCGCACGCAGAAGCACGCGAAGACGCCTGGGGTTCAGGTGAATGGCGAACTGAAAGATGAGAAGAAGAAGAGATGTGCTGATCAGCTTGGCGCCACTCAGAGCAAGAGGCAGCGAGTGTAATCTTGTCAAGCTTTTCTTCCTCTTTCTTTTTCCCCTTTAATTCTGGCCCTAAATGTAGTCTACTGTAGTAAAGATTTCCCTGGTTTCAATTTAAATCAAATTGTTTTGGGGGGAAGAATATGATATTGTACGTTCTAACGTTCCTTCAAATATGATATATGCATTTCACTTGTGAACGCGAGGCACTGATTGGTTGGTCCATTATTATGAAGTTTGGTTGTATGATGTCACACTATCTTTTTTAAGTCCCTTGTAAAATCTTTATTTGGATTCTTGTTCAGTTTAAAAATGGGAAAATGCCAGGTAAATGAACTTTCTTTTAATTGCATCGTGTTGCTTTTGCTTTTGCGGTGCTTCAACTGAAAAAAAAGCTTATTCTTTGACATGAATGTAGGAAAACATGTGCATTCCACTCCAATTTCCAACTTGTCATGTAATATACACATCAAGCCCACTTAATCTTCACTTCGCATCTTCATGGTCGGTGAAGTTGAGTGGCTATGTCTAAAATTCGTATGTACAAGAATACTATCAAATCGCTGTACAACCACTGATTTTTTTTTCATATCCTACTATGGACTTTTCATTCAACGACTCCTACTGAGCTGATGGGTCATATATCAGTTATTTACAGAGCCTGATTACTTATCTCCTTGCAGATTTCTACTGGATGCTGATAACATGCTGTGGAGGTGGCATCGGCCGCAAGCCCTCTCCTCCTCCAGGTTCTGAATCCGTTGCCTCGTGCACTGCCTGAAATCTCATACAAACCCAAATTATGGATGCAACTGATTTTTTAAAGGGAGAAAACAGAATTATTTGAGGTTTTGACAGATGTTGCCTGTATCGATGAAGCAATGTGGTAACAGACCTGATGTTGCCTGTATCGATGAAGCAATGTGGTAACTGATACCAAGATGATGTATATTGGTATGACAATTCCAGCTGTTCTAATCATCAAAAGCTGTCTCATTCAAGTGATTTGTGTCAGTCATTTGTAATCAGGTTATCCAAGCACGAAAGATGCTAATCGAGTTTCAGAAATCAGTATCTTACAGTGAACAGTGCTATCGAGTAGACCTCAGGATCGCCGAGGATAAGTGAGATCGCATCACGGAGCACCAACAAGGCCATCAGCTGAAGATTGCATTTTTTTATTATTTTTTTCAGAAACATTTGATGGCATGATTGAGAGTACTAATGTCCAAATGGAATTTCATGCTCTGCAACACTTACAGATATTGCGACTACACGGCAATAGAAGACACCTTTTGGGCTGGAATTCTGAGAGTCAAAACTGGATGTACCGGCAGCTTGATCTGAGGTTTGCGCAAAGTGTTCTTGACTGCGATCAGTATCAATATTATCTGATCTTTCTCCAGATCTCCTACAATGAGAAAAGGATTTAAGATACCAGTAGATACTGGATGGCCCCTTCTTATAATATCAGTAGGAGCATCAGCTGGTACCTGAAACTAATTAGGTTCCTTCCATGCCGAAACAACTTTAAAGGGGCAGTGTAGTTTGGCGTGAATTGCTGCGGTAAAAGAGCAGAAGTAACAAATCGAATATTAAAATTGGACTGTAAAATTCTTCAGTATAATAACATAATTGCTTCCGAGAGAAGAAAAGGACAGATTGCATTGCATCTGCTTCTTTCCTGAATTTGTTGGGATTTTTTTTTGAAGAGAATTTGTTGGGATTTGGATGATGAATTGTTGGACGGTTTCAGAAAGGTTCACCTGTAAGCATATCTCGCATACTGTGTCTCCCTTCTCATTGCACCACCTTTGGATGCATGCGTGGTGTGCGTACTGCAGACAGTGACAAACTAATTCAAGTAAATATTCGGACAGCAGGGAAATCTGTTGGGTAAGAATGGCAGGCAGAAATAACACTGAAATGAATGATAACATTTTAAATTGTAAGAATCTATCTAATGGAAACCGGGAGTTTTCTGTTTCAAGAAAAGTCTGAATTAGGGTGAATTCGAGGTAGAAGTAATCTTCAACTTCAAGTACCATCTATTGGAAAACTCAAGTTATCAGCATTCACCATAAGGGATGAAACCCCAAATGTCCTATTAATTGCAATATGGAAAACTGAATGTTGGTTACAGCAGTAGAAGACCTGGTAAGAAACTGTCGTGTGATTGGAAACTCAGTAATGGGAATAAAATGATTCTGAATTTGTGCCCAGAAACTCTGAACTTGTGGTTGTCCTGGGGGTTAAACAGGGCTAGAAAATACGTTTTCCAAAAAAAAAAAAGGGCTAGAGATTGAAATAATTTATATCCCGATCACTAATCAATTCAGCAAGCTCTTCCATACATAAAGGTTATCAAAATGGCAACACCTAATCATGTAATGATGCAGAGAATTCAGAATGGGAACAGAGAAAACCTTGCCTTGAGGCTGCCCTTGCAGCAGCAAGGGGTCTCCATGTAGGACTCGTCACCTTCCTCCTGGCAGATTCTGCATTCCACCATGACACCGCTCTTCGCCTTTCCATCCTGAACATCTTCATGAACGGGAAGATCAGGCTGATCATGAACTATCTTCACGGAGGCGACAGCGAGAGCCTCCTGCACGGCTGACTGCAGCGTCGACTCCGTGAGCAGCCGACCAGCCATCAGCGCGAAGTGATCCGCCATCCTCTATCGTTTCAACAAACCCCTATATCGAAACAAAGCTTTGCGTAACATGCAGCCTCCAGATCGTTGGAGCTAGCACTGGAAAATATAAGCCAAGAAGAGATATTCTTCAGAATTCAGAACAATGGCCGAAAAGTCGCCTGAGATTGAGTTGTTTGTTTACAATCTCTGACAAGATTCAGGATAAAAAAAGATCAACACGAACGAACAAATCACACGTTGAGACAGAAGAAAGTTCTCCTTTCCAACCATCTTTCTAGTAGCTAAAAGAGGAGCCATGGCGCCGGTGAAAAAGGCTAAGCTAGTTTACGCACCTGGGAGGAGGATGAGGAGGAGGAGAACGCCGTGCGGCCTGCAAATTAGCTAGCCGATGCAAGGAAAAGCCGCGAGCTTTTTCTCACGCCATGAGGTTGCGATCGAGATATACGGAGTACTAGTTTGCACGCACGCGTGTACTGAAAAGATCCGGGCTTTTCTCCACGGACGAAGAAAGAAGCAAGGATGCGATGCAAAGGCGACGGCGTGGGCAAGGGAGCAGGGGCAAAGAAAAGAGAGCAGAGAAGCAGCCGCAGCAGCAGCGACAAGCCAAGGAGGCTTGCAAGGCGGGACTAGGATATCCCTAACATCCAACTTGATAGCTTAGATATAGCTAGAGGAGATTAGGTTAAGTTCCTTGCTACTTCCTTCATCTTATAATATAACAACCTAAAATTAGATGAGGAATGTGGATTTTCATCTGTTTGCATGTCATCTAAATAGTTATCATAAATTTTTTTAATAAATTGACAACATAAATTAATATGAAATATATAACTTCACAAACATGTAAGACAAAATTCAACTTTTACAAATTGCAACAAAAAATAACAAGTTAAACTGAAAATAGTTATCGCATATTTACAACTATATTTGTTATTTTTATTACAACTTATAAAAGTTGAATTTAAATTTGCATGTTTGTGTAGTGACATATTTCATATTAATCTATGTTACCAATTTTTTTCATATTTTTTGATAGCTATTTATATGACATGCACGAAATAAAAGATATTTCCTTGAGGGATGAAATCACTTTTCCATTAGACATATCGTACTACAAATCTGGTATTGGTCTCAAAACGACTGATTGATGTGGCCTGCCTCGTGATTCGTGCTGCCTGATCATTGCACTGTGGCCCGACGATAACTGATAGTAACGGATTAGTATGGTCAAAATGAAATTTTGATTGAGGCTAGCTACTACTCTCCAGAAGTCCAGAGCAAACCTGGGTGATTGGAGGTGCTGTCATAGATGCTCCACAAAGTGCTTGGCAGTTGGTATTGATTGTTGGAAACTGATCATGTTTTCGGCCAAAGCCCCATTCTCATTGGCCTGGAGCTACATCTTCTTCTTCACTAGACCAAGAGTTACAATATTTTTTTCCAAGTGATTTTAAACTGCAAACAATTACCTGGTGCAATGATTGCCGGAATGACCGGCCATTGCTCGACTCGCCATCCTTGGCATCACACCGTGGCATGATTCGAGCGGAGAAAGTGACAATTGGAGCGGTTAGGGTGGTGGATTAGGGTTCCATCGCTGTACTAATCACACGTATTATTCCACTCGATTTCCTGACCTCTCATCCGGTCACCCCTGCCACACCATGGCATCTGGTGGCTGTGGTCTCTCTCGCGGCTCCTGTGTGTGGTCGTATCCAATCCTCTAGATCTGCAGCTTAATTTCGCTTCGTCATCTCGATCGGCAGCACACGCGGCGCCTCTCTCGCAGTCTCAGCATCCCGTGAGCTGATTTGATCCCTCGATTTCGTGGAGCTCTTTCATGGCTCGGCTAAACTTGTTGGCTACCTAGGCTAAACTTGGCTACACTACTACCTAAATTGCTTCCCGTTTCTTCGAATTTTCCGGGATTACTGTTTGGGGTTCAGCGCTGATGGAGGACAGTTCAGATAAGGGTTTTTCTCATCCGTTTGGACGGTCTGCTGTTTGTTGAGACTGTTGACAGATTGCCAGGAGCAGTGGTCCTTGTTAATCAGTAGCGTTTTCTGAAGATTTTGGAGTAATGGGTTTGGTTTCTCACTTTGTCTACTTATCATTGAGCCTTTTGGGTTGGTTCTAACTTCTAAGGCCTATCAAAGTATCAATAGTGTGGTGCACGCAGCTAGCAATATTGAAATTATTTGGTCTTCTTTACAGCAAAATAATGTAGTATGATGTGTCTTAGGCCCCATTTGATTCAAAGGAAATTCATAGGAATTTTAGTGGATTTTATTCCTATAGGAATTTTTCATACAAAGCCCTTTGAATCAAAGGAATGAACCCTATGAAATCCTATAAAATTTCTATGGAATGCCTCTTCCCATACAAGTTTTAGAGGAATTTTAATAAGAGGTCGAACCTCATGGAAGAAATCCTTTGAGTCTTTACTCTCCTCAAATTCTTGTGTTTTTTCTGTGGTTCAATCAAACGGTCATTCCTAAAATTTTCTTGTGTTTTGCAATACTCTGTTTTACACATATATTCCTGTCAGAATCCTATGTTTTTCTTATTCCTCCGTTTTTTCATTCACAAAGGGGCCCTTAATAACTGGGATACCTCAATAATTTCAGATGGCTGCGTCATGTACAATGGATGAAATTATTCCTGCCACAATCTAATATAAGTCCATCCGTTTCTTTCCGTTACTACTAGGTACTAGCCGGCAATGAAATAACCATTAAAATATTATTTTCCCTGAGTCATCTTATACTTGAATTTGGTAATGGCAGTAGCATCAATCTTTCAGAAAAAAAGAGATGATGGTTCTCCGTTGCAGTTGCCTGATGCGGACACGAATACACGATGAGGCCGTCGCCGATGGTGTACTTTGCACTCGCCGAGGGAGCAAAGCAAAGAATTTCTGGCTGCCGTTGCAGTTGTTAAACTATAGTAGGCCCATACCTCACGGACCTGAATAATCAATGGGCTGCGCCTTGACTGTACATCTGGGATGGGCTTATTAGTGCAGCCCATTTAACTGGACGGCCCAAATACCCTGACCACTGGCATCTAACGGCTAGGATCTTCCACCACCCGACTCCAAAGTCCTTCCTAACCCAGCGAAAACCCTAGCGCCCGCGCCGCCCTCGGTATAAAAGGCCTCGCCTCTCTAATCACCCGCTTCGCTTCCCAATCTCTCCCCAGCGCCGCCGCCGCCGCCATCCTCCCCGAGCCCTAGCTCTCCCCTATCCCTCGCCGCACGCACCACCACCAACCATGGCCGGCGCGCAGGAGTCTCTGGTGTTGGCCGGCGTGATGCACGGCCACAACGACGTGGTGACGGCCATCGCGACCCCCATCGACAACTCGCCGTTCATCGTCTCCTCCTCCCGCGACAAGTCGCTGCTGGTGTGGGACCTCACCAACCCCGTCCAGAACGTCGGCGAGGGCGCCGGCGCCTCCGAGTACGGCGTGCCCTTCCGCCGCCTCACCGGCCACTCCCACTTCGTCCAGGACGTCGTCCTCAGCTCCGACGGCCAGTTCGCGCTCTCTGGCTCCTGGGACGGCGAGCTCCGCCTCTGGGACCTCTCCACCGGGGTCACCACCCGCCGCTTCGTCGGCCACGACAAAGACGTCCTCTCCGTCGCCTTCTCCGTCGACAACCGCCAGATCGTCTCCGCCTCCCGCGACCGCACCATCAAGCTGTGGAACACCCTCGGCGAGTGCAAGTACACCATCGGCGGCGACCTCGGCGGCGGCGAGGGCCACAACGGGTGGGTCTCCTGCGTCCGCTTCTCCCCCAACACCTTCCAGCCAACCATCGTCTCTGGCTCCTGGGACCGCACCGTCAAGGTGTGGAACCTCACGAACTGCAAGCTGCGCTGCAACCTCGAGGGCCATGGCGGCTACGTCAACGCTGTCGCGGTCAGCCCCGACGGTTCTCTGTGCGCGTCCGGTGGCAAAGATGGCGTTACCCTGCTGTGGGACTTGGCTGAGGGCAAGAGGCTGTACTCGCTTGACGCGGGTTCCATCATTCACTCGCTCTGCTTCTCGCCCAACCGCTACTGGCTCTGCGCGGCGACCCAGGACTCTATCAAGATCTGGGATCTTGAGTCAAAGCACATTGTGCAGGACCTTAAGCCCGAGATCCCTGTCTCCAAGAACCAGGTTTGTTTCTCCACCTTATGCTTCATAGTGGTCATCTTGTTAGTTATGGAAATTATAGCTATTGTAGTATACTTAGGTCGCATGCTAATGCTATTCATATGTGGTGAGCTAATGCTTGATGTACCATGTTATTCAGTTTGATGCAGTTCTATATTACTGTCATTCGTCCACATGATTATTTGTGCTATAATTTAATAGATACTTCCTCTGTTTCACAATGCAAGTCATTTTAGCATTTCCCACATTCATATTGATGTGAATGAATCTAGACATATATATCTATATAGATTCATTAACATCAACATGAATGTGGGAAATGCTAGAATGACTTACATTGTGAAACGGAGGGAGTAGTTCCTATGGTCTCCTTTGTTGAAGTTGATAACTTGTGCTATAAACTATGGTTGTGAACTCAATTGTAACTTGTTTCTAGCTTTTATTTGAATATTGTACTTATGCAGGATGATGGTATTTAGTTTGGCAACTCTTCTGTTAAGAATTGTCATTGCTATATCTTAGAATCTGTTCTTTTACATTGTTGGTTATTTTTTGCAGTTTCAAATCGGTACGACAATGTCTATATATGGTCTGATCAGCTTAGACTGTATACACTAAACATCTTGATTCTGTCATCTTAAATATTTGATTGTTAGATGTTAAGTTAAATTCTTATCTACCAAAATAAAGATTCATTCTCATAATACTAAACGGTGGAATCATTTAGCTCATTTACTATCTATATACATAATCACATTATATATATTTGCTAGTAAACCCTTGAATTGTAGTATATTTTTGTTAGTAAATTGCTAGGAGTGCTAGTTTATATGTTTATGTTACTCACTGCATTTTGCATGCTATTCATATTTTTCTATCCATCTATAAAGTATCTTGCTTTGTTTATGAAGTATTATGGGTAGCTTAGCTTTTTAAGATGAATTTTACTTGTTTATGTTTTATTTTTCTCTTGGATTCACTGTTCTTATACTTGTGTTGGTAACCTGTATTCTCAGAGTAGTATGTTTAAGCTGGTTAGTCATAGGAAAACTTTACTGTACCTTTCTGATGGACTATTTTTTGATACATGAAAAACAATCATTTTTTTCTAGAAAATTCTGTACCTATTTTGTTGATCCTTTTGTTGCTCTCTTGGCTCTTGCAGATGCTCTACTGCACAAGCTTGAACTGGAGCGCAGATGGAAGCACCCTCTATGCTGGTTACACAGATGGAACCATCAGGATCTACAAGATCTCAGGTTTCAGCTACGCCGGCTAGAGATGGGGAGTGTTGTTTTAGTTATCGCGTTCTGGTAAACGACTGTGGTATCACCCTAGTGTTCTTTTTGGCTGTTTGAAAGGCATTAATCTGCCTGAGTACTTCTGCTTAATTTACCCATCTATGTAGTAGCTCCAGTACTGAGCTCATGGATACTGTGGAATAGGGATCTGTTTTGCACCATGTTTTGTTTTGACTTCCTTTTCAATATATTGTCTGA